GTATATTTCACCACAGTTTCTTAAGTGGCTAATTTTTTAAAGGAAAGTCAGAGGGTGGGAACAGCCTAGAGTGACAGGAAAATTTCTGGAGACAGTGACGCCTAAGTGGGGGCTTGAAGGGGGAGCCCAGCAGAGAGGTGGGGGGCGGACAGAGCAGGGCAGGTCAGCGTGGCTGGTCCATGAAGCCGCACTGGGCGGTAGGTGAGGACCGGAACACCCAGGGCCCTGTGCAGGCATCAGGCAGGCTCCAGGAGCCATGGAAGGCGCTGAGCACTGAGCTGCAAAGGCGGGGTCAGCTGGTATTTCCCCTTCACCAGGCTCCCAGTGGGAAGGGATTGCAGGGGCAAGGCGGGTGCATGACCCAAGAGCCGCATCCGTGGAGGACAGGCAGGGGTGTGGGACAGGGATCAGGCAGGGCACAGCCGCTCATGGCTGGGGGAAGTCATCCCCCACTCTCTGACAGGCTTGCCAACTTACCAAGAAGAATAAGGACAGCCAGTTAAATCTGAATTTCAGATAAGCAACAAACAACTATTTAGTTTGAGTATGCCCCAGATACTGCATGGGGCCTGCTCACGCTGTGAACATGTTCCTGGCATGTCCGATGTTCGCATGTAGCCAGGCGCCCTGGCTCTCATCTGGACACTGCCCTCTGAGGCTTCTCCTGTCCCTTATCTGGAAAGGGGTGGTCACTGCCTCAGAAGGGCTCTCCCTTCTGGTTCTTCAGGAATCCCCCCCAGCCAGGCCTCCCAGACCACCCAGCCAGGAGGAACCCCTCCCCCAGCCCCAGTCACGGTCACTTCACCAGCTCTGCTGCCTTCGTGGCACTTGCAGGCACTGAAATGACCCAGCTGTGTGCCTGTCTGTCTGGGATCTGCCCCCCACTCTGAGGTGCAGGCTCTGTGAGTGCAGGGACCCATCACCGCCACTTCCCTAGCACCTAGCAGAAGCTAGGTGTGCCAATACGATTTCCTGAAGATGACAGGGATGGACACCTCCCTGGAGGGGAGCCTGGGGCGCGGAGAGCAGGAAGATGAGGGTGAGGGGGCAGGGCCCCACGCACCTGCTGTTTCTGCCTCACCAAGCCCCGCCTGCTGATGACCTGCCCTCTCTTCTCTGAGGCTTGGGCTCTCTGCCCAGGGGACCAAGTGACCCTAGCTCTGGCCAGATGTGGACCGGTAGATCAGTACCCGCCCAGCCTGGCCCTACCCCCACCCCTCCCAACAGGACCAGCATCTTGTCCACAGATTCCCACGGCAGCCCGTTACCATGGCAACAGCAATCTGAGGTCACCTCGCTGGAAACTGGAGGATGCCTCCCTCCTGGAACACCACCAGAAGTCAGAATCTAATTTTCATTACAGCCATAATAGTGGTTTTGCATAATCGTGCATATATTAATACCTAACATGTCTGTGTTTATTTGGTTAAAATTCATGAATTCGGGTCTAAATAAAAAGTGCTGATGGCTGAAGTTTTTCATTCTAAGAGAATGAAGTTTTTCATTCTCTTAGAATGTTCTTGGTTGCTTTTTTTTTTTTTTAAAGCCAGTCTCTCCTTGGCAGCAACTTGCTTTTAATCCCATTATTAACAGGGGGAGACAGGAAAACGAATCAGGGCTCACCTCCCAGGGGCCAGCCACCTCTGGGGAGAGCGGGGGCACATCTCTGGCTGTGGAGGTGGCATGTGAGTGCTGGTCGCCCCTGGCCTCTGCCTTGCTGTGTGGCCCAGACCGATCCCTGTCGCCTCTCCAGGCTTCTTTCCTCAAGTGGAAAAATGAGAGAAGGCATTAGTTGGTCTTTGAAATCCCTTCTGCTTCCAAAACGCAGCCACGGAGCTGATATTTGCTGAGACTCAACAAGCACTGGCCCCCGGGCAGGAGGAGTGAACAGGTTCCTGTCCTTGGGTCAGTGCAATCTGATGGGGACTCATTTGAGAAACAGACAGTGCAGTCTGGACGAGTTAGTTCGCACCCATAATCCCAGCACTTTGGGAGGCTGAGGCGGGTGGATCACCTGAGGTCACGAGTTCCAGATCAGCCTGACGAACATGGTGAAACTCCATCTCTACTAAAAGTACAAAAATTAGCCAGGCATGATGGCGGGCACCTATAATCATTACTCTGGAGGCTGAGGCAGGAGAATGGTTTGAACCTGGGAGGCAAATGTTGCAGTGAGCTGAGATCATGTCACTGCACTCCAGCCTGGGTGACAGAGAAAGACTCTGTTTCCAAAAAAAAAAAAGAAGAAGAAGAAAAAGAAAAAGAGAGAGACAGTGCTGTCAGGGAGGGAGGGCTGGCGTGAAGGAAACAGGGAGCCGTGGGACAAACGGGGCACCTTCCTCAGCCATAGGGCCACGGGGACAGCCTGCCAGAAAAAGCAACATTCCAGCTGAGGCCTGAAAGGAATAAAGCCAGGAAAGGGAGGAACAGAAACAGGTGAGGCTAGAAGGTGGCCCCTGGTCCTTCAAGGCCACGAGAGACCACCTCGTTTAAAATGAGGTGAGACAGAGTGGAGCGGTGCCCACAGAGTCAGCCTGGGGAGGAGTCCCTCGGGGCTGCCGTGGGGACTGGGAGGGAAGGAGCTGAAGCTGCAGCACTAAGGCTCACTGGGGCCTCTCCTCCCCTCTTCTCTGGCAGCAGGGCCAGGTCCCCAGGTGAGGAGTACGGCTCTGCATGGGAGCTCCACCCTCAGCCTCACGTGCACAGGGTATGTCCCAGCTCCAGCCCTGACTGCCCTGCAAACAACCTTGCTTGGCCTTAGCTTCCTCATTTGTAAAATGGGGTGAGATCCCTTTCTGGACAGATGTGGGAGGCCCAGGAGCTGGCCCAGGCCTGTTTTCACAGCCCAAGGCATCGTGGCTGTGTTTGCACCTGCACACGCACCTGGAGCCTTTCAGCACACACACACACTCCTGAGTCACCGCCTCTATCCCCTACAGTGAGGCAGACACCCAAGGTAGAAAAGGCCCTTAGAGGGTCCCCCGTAAGCCAACGTATTTGAGCAGGAGCCCCCGGTGCTCTGGGTGGTGCTGCGGTCAGCTCAGAGCTCCAGCCTCCAGCCTCCAGCCTCAGCCCCGTGTCACCCACTCTGTGCCAAGTACTGGGGCCTGTGCTGATTTCTGTTCTTTTCAAAAGCTGCAGCAATGACCAGAAGGGGCCCGAAAGAAGAAACAGAGGACAGGCCTTCTTCCTGCAGGGTGGCCTCAATTCACTCATCTCCAGAGTGGGCTGGGCCTCGGAGAAGGGGGCACTGTGCTACAGACCACACCTGGTGTCCTGGTGTCCCCTGCTCCTAAAATGCCAAGGCCCAGCCAGCTCTCGAGGAGAGAGGATATACAACGGGAACAGGGAGGCCCAGGGGAGGCTGGTGGAGCCTGGGCAGGCCCTCTAGCACCAGTATGGCATCTGCTGCTCTGCCCACTGGGCACATCCACGTGACTAGTCTCTGTACCTCTCTGGGCCCCTTCGCCTCCCCTTGAAGGGCAAGGACAAGAACTAGGGGGAGGAATCACAGGGTTTGATGCCTGCCCAGTGTGCATTCCCTCCCCCAGCAAGCACACGACCCAGCTCCAAAGGCACTTTCTCCCTTTTCTAGTCTCAGGCAGTGGTGCAGGCGGGTCACCCCCATCCCTAGATCCCAGAGTGAGCTGATGGCTCAGACCTGGCCAATCAGAGCGCAGCATCTCTATGGCTCCTACCTAATGCAGCTGAGTGAGGCTCCTCCTTGGAGGCTTTGACAGACACTCAGGGAGAGAAGCTCCTGTTCACTTGGGGAGAGGACGAAAGCCTGAAGCCTCGGGGTACTGCTGGGCGCTAGGAGAGGAGGGAAGCAAAGGCAAAAGGAAGCAGAGCCAAGAGGTAGAGAGAGACTGCATCCTAGTGACACAGTTGGAGCCCTTGATCCAGCTATACCTAAAGCTGGAAGCACTTCCGGGTTTTTTTGTTGTTTTTTTTTTTGGAACTTGAGCCACTAAATTATCTGTTTCTCTTGTTTATTTCCTCTCTCCTTTCTCTCTCTCTCTCTCTCTCTCTCTCTCTCTCTCTCTCTCTCTCTCTCTCTTTCTCTCTCTTTCTCTCTCTCTCTCTCTCTCATCCTTAAGCCCAATAAGTTGGGTTTTTGTCCTTTGCAGTCAAGGGTACTGAAAATACCCATAAGAAAAATTCAGGGTTGGGCACGGTGGCTCACACCTATAATCCCAGCACTTTGGGAGGCCGAGGCAGATCCATCACTAGAGCTCAGGAGTTCGAGACCAGCCTGGGCAACATGACAAAACTCCGTCTCTACCAAAGATACAAAAAAAAATGATCTGGACATGGTGGTGTGCACCAGTGGTCTCAGCTACTTGGGAGGCTGGGATGGGAGGATTACTTGAGCCTGGGAAGCAGATCGTATCACTGCACTCCAGCCTGGGCGACAGAGTGAAACAGAAAAAGGAAAGGGAAGGAAAGGGAAGGGAAGGGAAGAGAAGGGGAAGGGGGGGGAAGGGGAGAGGAGGGGAGAGGAGGGGAGAGGAGGGGAGAGGAGGGCAGAGGAGGGGAGAGGAGGGGAGGGGAAAAGGAAAGAGAGAAGGAAGGAAGGAAAGAAAGATGAAGAGAAAAGAGAGGGAGGGAAAGAGGGAGGGAGGGAGAGGGAAAGGAAGGGAGGGAGGGAGGGAAAATTCAAGACAGTGACAAAGGGTGAGTAGATGATTATTCCCATGTGACGCTTTCACCCGGCCTCAGGCACAGGAGCAGAGCCTGGGAACCAGGCCTGCCTCCTCCCCAGCTCCACAGGCCACCCCTCGGCCACCACCCACCACCCACCCCTCGGCCATGACAGCACAGGCCACCACCCACCCCTCGGCCATGACAGCACCCTGCCATGAGCATTCTTCTATGTCCCTGACACCCCAGGCCCCACCATGAACATGGGGGAGGAGACCCCACCACCCCACTCCTTAAGAGAAGCCTCAGCTTGCCACCCATCCTGCTGGGGAAAGAACAGCAGAGACACACAGAGAAATTCATAAACAGGCTTCTGGGCTTTTATTCAAAACAACACTGGCGGTGGCTACCGCTTGGTTTCTCTACGCCCAGGCCACCCGGGCCAGCAGGTACCAGCGCCGTCAGCAACTTGGAGGGAAGTTCATTCACACCATAGAAACTGTACAGCGACTGAGAGTGCTAGAGTCACAGCGGCGGCCCAGGCCGAGGGCTTCCTGAAGGAGGTGGCCTCTGCCTCCTCATCAGGCTGCAGCTTGGCCCAGGCTCTGCCAGGAACACTGATTATTGCACAAAGACAAAAAAGAGTATGTGTATCTGGGCTAAAGAGCAGCTTCTAAGACCCCAAGCCCTTACACAATGCAGCAAAGGGGGCCGGGGTTGACCCTGGAAGCAGAAGGCTCCGAGCTGAGGATTTGGGGGAAGACAGGCAGACAGGCTTTCCACACTTTGTCCTCCTTTAACGGGCTGCCTGGTGCAGGAGAAGGCAGCGCAGGGGAGAGGAAGAGGGTTTGGCCAGGGTGGGCCGTCTGCACAGACGCCAAGGTACCCACCCACCGCCACTCTTCGGAGCCCAGCAGAGACAGCTCAGGGTGCCTGGCACCTGGGTCCCCACTTTCCTCACAGCCAGGCCCGTGTGGATTAGGGCAAATTTGTGCTTTTGTGACAGACACAGGCCTGAGGCCACGGCCCCAGACCAGAGGGTTTGGAGGGAGGAAAGGCCCTTTGCCCAACCCTCGCCCATTTTGGCTTGTGCTGGCCGGTGGAGCACAGCTTCCCTGGTTCCCCATCTGTCACCAGGATCAGCAGGTGGGGCCTCCAGGAGCCCGGGCTCGGCCAGGCCATCTCCCACAGCTCCCTGCGGGGAGCTTCTCTGTCTCTGCTCCCAGCTCTTCCACCTCCACACGCCCTGTTCTGTGGACCCTGGAGCCGTTGCTCGTGCCCATGCCTTTGCCCAGAACGCCTGCCCCAAGGTGTCTGCTTGTTCCGCAGTCACGGGGTTCAGGGTGAGAGGAGGTTTCGTGTCAGACCTGCCTGGGATATGTTCCCTGCTCAGCTGCTCTGAACCCGCATGACAGCAGGAAAGGCTGCTCAGCAGAGTCACAAGATGACCTGAGGCTGCTTGACCAGTGTCTGATCCCGTCCCCTTGAAGCCCAGCCTTCCACATGGCCTTCCCAGGTCATGCAGCCCCTCTTCTGCGCTCCAAACACGCACATCCCTCCAGCAACACGCGGACTTGCCCCGCCTCCAGCTGCGAGTGCTCAGGGTCAGCGAGGAGCAGTCAAGTCAAGCCTGCCCAGACCCACTTCCCCAGACAAGGTACCTCATTCCAGATAAAACCACCTCCGTGGAAACGGAGGCAGGGCCCAGGCTCTGGAGCGGGCAGCGTTGGGCTTGGATCCAGCCTTCCCCACAGGTCTACCTGCCCTCAGGGACGACCGGGCAATTCCTCCCCCTGCAGGCACCTTGTTCAGCTTCACAGCTCCGGGTGCAGAGTGGGGCCCTCCACGCCACCCCAGCTTCTTTGCTGCCAGAGCCCTGAAGGATCCTGGGCTGGCCGCTTCCCCTAGCCAGGACTCAGTTTCCAGCTTATACGGTAGGCTTGACAGCCCCTGCCGGCTCCCTCTCCCTCAGCCCAAAGGGAAGGTCTCTGCATGGGACAAAGCACATATTGCCCACCACCTCCCCCATGGTCCCTGTGCCAGCCTGGAAGACACCCAGAGCCCCTCCAAAGGGCACCCCACACCCTCACCAGCCCAGCCACAAGCTGAGTTCTTCCAAGCCAGAGTTTGGGAACAAGGACAAGGCCCTCCTCGGCAGGCCCCCGTGAAGCCCTCGGAGGGGAGCTTAGCAAAGGCAAGGTTATGGCTGAAACACAGCATCCCCAAACTGGCGGCCTCTGCAGCTGCTCCAGACCACGGCCACCAACATGCTCCCAACCTCCTTCAAACTGACTTCATGAATGCCACTCACTTTTCAAAAATTAGCCTTGTGAAATCACAGGCTCAGTGTCTTACTTTTTTTCTAATAAATAGTGAAATAAATGCAGAACTCTTCAAACACCCCCGTCTATAACCCATTTGGGAAGCACTACTAGAGTGAAAGCTGGCCTGCAGTTGGGGGCAGTGGGGGAGGAGGGACAGGGGCTGGCAGGTGGGGCCCGAGAGTGTGGCCTCCAGGTGACTTGAAAGGCTGGGCATGGGGATGGGGCTGGACCACCCCTGCCTAGAATTCTGTCAGACCTGCTTTGCCCTGAACCCGCTGGGGTGGCGGCATAGCTGCTCAGGGTAGGGACAGCACAGCATCTAGGTACAGCCACAGCTCAGGGCCCATATTGGGGATAAAAGGCATAAGTGACTGAACAACTGATTGCCTGAGCCAGGGGCACCTGCGGGGCAGTGGGGGGCAGCAGACACCAGGCGGCCACCCTGGCCCCTCCAATCAAGCTGCAGCTGGCTCAGTCTCCCTCACCCTTCCTCTGCAGACTGCCTCCACTCCTGCCCGCTGCCCTTCTGAGGACGGAGCCCACCCCTTCGGAAGTGCTCAGGAGCCCCAGTCCAGCCTTGAAGCTGCCCTCCGCCCCCCACCCCTGTCCTAAGGAAACACAGCTACTCACCCCTGATTTTTCTAAAGAGAGACATCTAACCGGTGGACTAGGAGGATGTGTGTGCTCTGGGGTGTCTACAAAAGACTTCACAACACAAGACGGTCAGGATGACAGGACAGACACCCCGACATGTGGGAGCCATGTGGGATCTTAGCAGCCTTTCTTCTTTAAAGGAAAAAACAAAAACCACACCCTGAATTGCCCCTCTTCTCCCAGGCCTGGTGCCTCAGAGGCCTGAGGGTCCTCTCCAAGCTACCCTCGACCCAGGAGGAGACACCAAAACACACAGCGGTGACGCCCTGGCAGGACACGTGCCCTGGGGTGGGTCTGGCCTGAATCCAGAGCGTCAGACAAAAAAGCCCCGTCCAGGCCCTGGCCCACCTCCCACCTTTAGCACTTTCTGGAAGTCATAAGCTCTCAGTAAAAAAAATAAATATATATGTCTGTCTATGTATATATATATATACATATATGCATATATATATATATGTATGTATATGCACTGGAAGGGCCACCGTGGGCCACGCAGGCCTGGTTCACCCAGACCCGCTCAGCCCGGCCGTCGGGCTCCTGTGCCCGGGAGGGAGGCTGGGCCCCGCGCGTTCCCAGGTGTGGACCAAGTATTGCTGTCTGCTCCTGGCTCCTGAGGTAAAGAAGGTAAGACGGGGCGGGCGGTGGGCGGCCCCTGCGACCCTCATCTCTTCCTCTTGCTGGCGGCGTCTCCCGGCTCCAGCTCTCCAGAGGGTGGCTGCGGCGGGGACGGCAAGGGACCCAGACCCATGGGCAGCGATGCCCGGCCCGGGGGGTCTTTGCTGCAGTCCGCGGCCCACGAGGGGCTCCGGGCCAGGCCGCGGGCGTGGGGTGCGGCGGCGCGGGGGCGGCCGGGGGCGGCCAGGCTGCTGGTGCTGCTGAACTTCCTGGCGGGCGTGAGGCCGGCGGGCGGCGGCGGGGGCGGCGGGCAGAAGAGGGAGGTGAGCGAGAGGCTGCTGAGGGTCTCCGAGTGCTCGCTGCCCGCGCCCCCGCCGCCCGCGCCCCCGCGGCCCTCCTCGTCCGAGGGGTCCATGGAGTCGTGGTGGGTGCAGCCCGGGCTGGTGGAGCCCCCGCTGCTGTGGCTGCGCTGATGCGCCCGCAGCCCCCGCAGGCTGAACAGGCCCCGGCCCCGCAGGCTCAGGCGGCGGCGCGCGGCGGGGGACAAGCCGGCCCGGGGTCCTGGAGCAGCTGCGGGCGGCCCCAGGGCGCGCCGGGGGCTGTCGCTCAGGGTCAGGCTGTCCTCCAGCGTGGTCTGCAGGCTGCCCGCGGAGCTGCTGGGGCTGGCGTCCAGCGACGTATCGCTCCCGGTGGCCTGCGGGGAGGCGGGAGCGGTGGAAGCCGCCTTGCCTGCCCCCCACCCCCGTAACCTGGACGCCCCCTCCCCGGCACCGCAGGCAGCCCCCACCCCCGGATCTCCCTTCGCAGCTGGGCTTCTTCCCTTCCCATGTCCAGATGAGGCTGCAGTCACCGCAGGGCCTCCACCTGCCCTGAGAGGTTCCCCGAGAGGAACGAGCACCTGCCCCAAATCCAAGTCAGATCCAGCCCTGCCCTTCGCGGAAGGCTCCAGGCTCACTCCCAGCGGAAGCCCTGGGCCCACCGCCCTTCCACAGGGCACGTGGCTACCCCACCGCACCCTCCATGGTCCTGACCAGGCCCCTGCCCTGCTGCTCCCACAGGCTCTGGTCCCACACTTGCTCCGCCCCTGGCTCCCCCTTCCTGGCCCCAGGGGCGCCCACCTCCTGGCCCGGGGGGACCCCAACTCCCAGCCACCCAGCCCCCACCTTCCAGCCCCAGAGTCCCCGACCTCCAGCCCCTCCCTGGTGCTGTTCTCCCTGCCTGTCCAGCATGGCATAGACTTTACTCTGCAAACATTGATTCTGGTTATCACCCTCCTCCTCCTGCACCCCCGCAGCTCACTCTCAGCACTAAACAGGGAGCCCAGCAGGCAGGGAGTTCGTGTCCTGCCCGCCACAGCACACAGCCTGGTATGACGGGGTCAGACAGTCACCCAATGAATGAATCGAGGATCACAGGAGTGCCCGACCCGCCCAGCCCTCACCACACTGTGGGAGCAGGTGCGGTCCCATTTCCCCACCCACACAACAGAGCCAAGTGGGTCTGCTCAGTGCTCTGGGCCACTGTGTGCCCCTGGGCAGGAGGGCTGTGGCCTGGGCCAATCCCATACAGGAGACCCTGTAGGCCAAGGCTGCCCATCCGCCAGACCAGCCCTCCCACCTCCATTCCTAGTAATCGGCCCTCACCCACACCCACCCAGAGCGCCCAGGGTGTCCTCCCCACCGCCAGCACCCGCCACCCTGCAAAGCCTCCCATACTCCTCCTCGTCTTCCCTTAAACTAGGGATCACAGGTCTCTTACGGAGCCCCATCGGGGTCCCCCCCACACTCTGCTGTCCCTAGGACCCAGCCCTGCCCATTCCATCTGCCCTAGTGCCACCTCCCCCTCCAGTCTCAGCACCACCCCTTAGTTCCCAAACCCCCTTGCACAGTGGTGCCCTGGGCCTTTGGTCGTGTCCCTCCCCTCCCAGTCTCTTGAACTTCCAGGCCTGGCTTAGATTCTGCCCCTCTCCCACAGACCAGCACTCTGGAGCCCGAGAGGTGTCGGTACCTGCCGGAGGAGGGTGCAGTTGACCCTTGGTGACCGCAGAGATGCCCAGGAGCCCTGCAGTGCAATCTTGGGGAGGGTCCCAGCACCAGTGCCCTTTTCTGGGCCTTTCTGGCTGGCAGACACGGCAGGGTGGAAGAAGTCGGCTGGCATGGGCAGGAGAGGGCTGGAGGCATCCGGGGAGAAGGGACTTGGGGGTGCTGCTGGGGAAGGAGGAGACAGAGCTGGGGGAGCACGCTCACGCCAGGGGGCGGCCCCTGGAAGGTGGCACTGAGCACACCAATCTCACTGAGCCAGCAGGGAGGGGTCCCCTAATAAGCTGACTGTGAGACCATGGGTAACTGGCCCTCTCGAAGCCTTAGTTTTCCCATTGTGAGAGCAAGAGAGAAACCCTGAAGCAGCCCTTGATGGGGCATAAGGAGAAGAAATGGCTGGAAGCTACCAGCTTAGTACCAAGTACACAGCGGGTGCTCACTAAGATCAGTCACCCCCAGGTCCTGACCCCTCCATGGGGCCTGGCCAGGTCTGGGGGCCCCTGTAGGACAGCAGATGGGTGGGGTGTCCCAGCTCCAGGTCAGGCACTGCACTGGATGGCAGATCAGTCTGGCCTGGTCAGCTGCCCACGGTGAGGGGCAGGGATGGGGTGAGGGCGTCTGAGGGCTGGGGCAGGTCTTGGGTGTGGGAGCAACAGGGGATAGCAGCAGCCTCTGCTCACAGTCCCCTCAGCACCTTGGGGGTTAAGGGTGAGATATTGGAAGAATGTACCCAAGACAGCTGGATGGTCTGAATGTCCCACCTGGGGTTCCTAGCCATGCCATCTTACCATTTAAGGAAAACGTACATAAATGGTTGACTAAAAGGAATGAGATTTCTCCTTCCTCCAGAATGGCTCTCAGGTCAGACTCTGTGCTCTGACTTCTGGTTTGGGAAGTCCGGGGTTGTGGCACCTCAGTCACCCTGGCCGGCTGAGAGGCCATCGGTTTTAAGGAGGGTACCCAGGAAAGTTACCCCACCCCTGCTCCTGGGAGGTGTCCCTGAAGGGTGCTTGGGGTGGGCTCAGGGTCTTGGGCGTCCCTCTTCTGCTAGGCTCATCTCTCTGCTTCCCTCCACAGCCAGTGCCAGGAAACCAGGTTCCTGCCACCCTCCACAAGGACCACAACAAAGATGAGCCCATGATGGTAGGCTAGTTAGTCCCCTGACCCTGTGCCCAGAGCCCAGCCATGGGCCCAAAATGCTAACAGAACACTGCAGGTAGGGCTGAAGGATAAGAATCAGGAATTTACAAAAGGGCTGTTGAAGACACCAGGCTTTTCCATGTTTAACATCCCCGTGTATATGAAGATCTGTGGGCTACACACCTCTCAAATTCAGCTCTAGAAAAACACCACAATAATCTGGCAGTTTTCCTTCTGCTTGATAATGAGAGCTGTGTGTACCCACCTGTTTCCCTTTTCACCACAGCTCCTAGGAAGCTCAGCATGGAGCTTCCTTTAGCATAGGTTTCTGTTACAATTACCTCATCTTTTTATACTATTTGGCTCTTGTATCATTGTTATATCAGGCCTGAGATTTTATCATTGTTATATCAGGCCTATCTCTCATTATCAGATATCCATCTGGTTCTTTCTGGACTAAATATAATAGTCTGGGTAAAACAGTAAGGAAAAAACTCAACCATCTCCCTCTGAAGCAGATGCCCAAGACGAGGGCTGCAGGGAGGCGGCAGGGATCCCACCCCTCACCTTGACTGCTCTCGTGTTTCAGCCAGGACCTGACCGGGTTGAATGGGATCTCCTCCATCTCACATAGGAAGTTCTCTGAACTCGGTGAGACGGCCGTAGAGGACAAGGGGAAGAAGCATTCACCCAGGTCTCCCACACGCATGGGCTCAGGCAGGTCCAGGTCACCCTGCAAGGAAAGGGAGGTAGGATGGGGCAGGACAGGGGAGGGGGACAGCTGCCCTCATGACCTGCTCCATGGCCCCTTGCTTAATGAAGCTATCCTCACAGCTGGTCCGACCTTCCTCTCAACTCTTCTACCTGACCATCTTCCAAAACCCAAGTGAATGGAACCCACCTCCCAGTGCCCCACTGGATGCCCCAGGCAGTTAGTGATTTCCCAGTGAAGAAGCCAGGTCAAGGCTGGCAAAGGCATCAGAAGACAGCCTGAGAGGTCACATGAGTGTCCCGTGAGCATGACCTTGGGTGGGTTCCTTCCCTTTGCTGAGTCTCAGTTTCCGCATCCGAAGAGAGTAACCCCTTCCTTCCTGGGCATTCCCTGGACCCGGCATGCCTCAGCCCTGCAGCCCAGAGTGACCCCTTCCCAGAAGAACTGCCTTAATGCCCACCCCAAGGCAGGTGAACTCACACCATCCCAACCTCCTATGACTTGCTGGCGCAAAAAACTGCACCCTGCCAGAGCAGTGGTCACACCCGTAATCCCAGCACTTTGGGAGGCCAAGAAAGGTGGATCATGAGGTCAGGAGTTTGAGACCAGCCTGGCCAACATAGTGAAAACTCAACTCTATTAAAATTTTTTTTTAAAAAATTAGCCAGGCATGGTGGCAGGCACCTGTAATCCCAGCTACTTGGGAGGCTGAGGCAGGAGACTCACTTGAACCAGGGAGGCAGAGGTTGCAGTGAGCCAAGATGGTGCCATTGCACTCCAGCTCCGGTGACCACGCAAGACTCCTTCCAAAAAAAAAAAAAAAAGCCTGCCCCCTGCCCAAGTCCATCTGACTCCCAGAAACTGTGCCCCTGATGTCCTTTGTAGGAGAGCAGTGTGGGAGTGCAGGGGCTGCAGCAAGATAGCAATCAGGAAGGAGCTGAAATGACATGGAGGGCACGGGAAGAACTCTGCCGGCAGCCTACCCTGAGCTCATGGAGGGCCAGCCTGGGATAAGAGGTGCCAAGCCCAGGGTATTCCCCAGCTGTCCCTCCCCCCCCCACCTCCAGCAGGGCAGGACCACCTTGACCTTGAGATCATGAGCCCTGGTCTTCAGGTCTCACCCCTCAAGACTGCAGGAACAGCAGTGGGCCCTCCCTGCCCTGAAGGCCTCCTCAGACTGACCCCCCTGGGGCACAGAAGTTTGGGGTCCAGTCTTAGGGGTGACTTCCTGCTCTGTCATTCCTGGCTGTGTGATGCAAGCATCACCCCACTTCTCAGAACCCCCATTTCCCTGTGTGTCAAGTGGGGACAAATCCTCCCTGCTCAACAGAGCTGTGAGACAATCAGCTGGTGCCAGCAGAGTGCCTGCACACAGTAGGTGCTTGTGCCTGGTGTGACTCCCCAGTTTGCTTCGACCTCACAGCCCCGCCAGCCAGGGATGATACCCCCATGGAATGGATAAAAAATACCAAAAGCAGCAAGAAACAGCCAGCACTGCTGGGTGCCAGGTTGGAGTGCTGGCTGGGCTTGTGGCTGTGTGATTTCAGGCAAGTCACTCCACCTCTCTAAGCCCTACTGCCTGCATGTGTCCAACAGGAGATGAAGGCCTAGCATGAAGTGGGTGCCACTTACATGGCAGACTGGAAAGATGGCGGGGGGTCCTGCCTGGGTGGACAGGGGCCAGGCTTCAAGGGCAGACCCGCCTGCCCAGGAGCTCACCTTGCTGTCTTTGGGGCCAGGTTGGCAGGCTGTGGGGTCCTCGAGACTCAGGTCGTCACCCAGCAGGATGGACGAGGACCTGTCCGAGTTCAGGGAGAAGGCTTCTGTCTCAGCCAGCTGCACCTGCAGGGAGAGGGGGTGGCCTTGGGTCACCCCAGGGCTGGGACGGCACACCTCAGTCTCCAGGCATGCAGCCACAGGCCTGAGGCTCTGAAGAGAGGCTGAGCAGTAGTCAGAAAGGTCCAGACATCTGCTGGGCACAGACAATGTGTCCACCCTTTGCAGGGGCCCAGCCTGTGTGACATGCGATGGTGACACAGTGGCCACCTCCAGTGGAAGCCAGCCCTGAGTGGCCCATGTTGCTATCTGGGCCTGAGGACAGGAGAGTTGCCGTGGGCTATGGACTCCACAGCTGTCTGCTTGCCCCAGACCAAGTGCCTGTCAAGACTGGGCAGGGCTTGACTCATCGATGGCCCTGTGTGGACGACCTGCCCAGTGTGTCACAGGCAGGGAACACCGTGGGGCCCAGAGACACTGGAGAATTTCCAGTCACCACAGGGCAGGGGTGTGGGGCAGCCCAGACCTCCAGCTCCTGTTGATGGCTGCTGGGGATCCGACCTGACAGCCACCTGAGGCTGGGGCCACCCTAGGGGCTAGAATACCCTGGTGAGAGGTCAGGGGCCCACCCTGCTGGAGAGAGTGGAGGGGCTGCCTGCACCTGCACTGGAGACAGATGCATGGCCACAGCCTGGGAACCTGTGAGCTGGGTGGGCCTAGGCTCCAAGCTGGAGGGCAGGGAAGGACACCTGGAGGAGGTTCAGTGCCAGGATGATGCCCTGGCAGAAAAGCAGGCAGATGACCCACCCATTCATGTCACAGAAAGGGCAAGCTTCGCTGTGAGTGACACATAGGGTCCCTGCCTGGCATCTGCAGCACACAGGTGGGGCAGCTGCCCTACCCGAGCACCTACTGTGTGTGGCACAGGGTTGAGGTCAGCAGCTGCGGCCACCACACCTGGTCCCAGCTTTGGGAGCCGGTCTGCCTGGCCATGGAAGCAGCATGTGCCCACACTGACCCAACCTGGTCTCTACTGCCCAGAGCCCGGCTCTCCGCTTGGGCCGGCCCCCAACCAGGCTTTGAGCTGCCCTTGCCCAGAGACACTCCCAGGCCGTCATTACCTCTTGCTTGTCGTGGTGACACTTCCTGCAGCCGGCGGGCGAGGAGTAGTGATGGAAGATGGAGCCAGATAGGTTGTCGATGATGGTCAGCTCCCCCTCCAAGGAGTCCTTGATGATTAAAGAGACGCTGTCCAGCCACAGGTTCTCCTAGGCGGACGGGGACGGGGTGGGGATAGGCGGGATTATCAGCCGGGTCCCGGGGCTGCGGGGTGGGCAGGACACAGCTGCCTCCCAGTTGGTTCTCTGTGCCCATGGCCTGGGACCTCATCATGGGGTCACCCCTTCTATGGAACTGAGCAGGGTGGGGGGCCCAGAAAAACAAAGGCCTCTGTGCAAAGCCTCCCCAGCCCCACTGCCCATCTGGCCCTGCGGTGCCCCCTCCTCTGATAACCCTCACGCCTCTCCAGCCCCTGCCCACCTGGGCAGGCGAGTAGCAGCGCCGGCACAAACCGCCCTCGGCGTCGCCCCCGCCGCCCGCCCCTCCCGGCCCGCGGCCAGGAGCGCCCGGGGAGCTGGCAGGCAGCCTCGGGCCGGGGCCCAGACTGTGGGCCCTCTCCAGCTCGAGCTCCGCGTCCATCTCAGCGTCCTCCTGCGCCTCCTTGTTGCTGTCGTCCAGGTGCTTCATGAGCACGGCCACCACCACGTTGATGAGCACGAACTGCGCAGTGAGCACGAAGCTGACGAAGTACAGCGGTGACACGAACTGCAGGCTACTCAGGCAGCTGCGCTCGTCGTGGGTGCAGTCCCGCAGTGTGTCCTGCAGGGCAGGGAGGGCGGCGAGGACATCGCAGAGGCCGCTGGAGGCAGAGGCCGGCCCAGGGCCACACACAGAAGCAGCAAGACCGGGACTCAACCCCCGAGACGGCCCCCAGCTGCCCTGCCCACTCTGCCTAGTGGGAGCCTCTGCCTGCCTCAGCCTCAGCTAAGTCCCCACATGGACAGACAGATGGCCCAGGGCCCTCTCCTCCTCTCTCGCTCCCACCCACATCCCCTCCCTACAGCTGGCCCTGCCTCCCAGGGCCACAGTCAGGCCTGAGAAGGAGCATCCAGGGCTTCCTTCAGGGTCCCCTGGGGAGGGGGTGCACTCAGGACCAGGCCACCTATCCTTCCTTTCTGGTTCTTCTGCCAGCTCAACCCCCATCCACAAAGCCCAAGAAGCCTCCACCACCCTCCGGCTCTGGGCCGAGGGGAGCGGCCGCCTCTCCCAGGTCCCCAGATTCCTGCCCCTTTGCTGGGGCACTGAGGGCTATGCAGAGTAGGGGTGGGAGGCAGAGCAGGCCTGGCCCTGCCCTCTCCACCCCAGGGCCCCAGAACCGAGGCATCACCAGGAGCCCCTCTCTGCCCTTCCCAGCCCAGCCCAGGTTGCGCCCCAGGCCAGGGAGCCTTACCAGGTGACCCAGTCAGTGTGGCAAACAGCAGGGGGCCTGGCCCTGGCCTTCGGGACTGCCTGGGCTCCAGGTCCCCTCTGGAACTGGGTAGAGCTGTCTCCCCTAAAATCTGAGCCCCAATCCCAGGCAACAGTGGGAGATGGGGCAGTGGTGGACAGGGGGCCTGTTTGTTCTGGCTCAGCTCTCCCCACTGTGCTGGTCCCATGCAGACCCCTCCACTCCTCTGGGCCCTGCAGCCCCCTCCCACTGTGTGGTGGGGCCCTGGGCAGGCAGAGCCCTGAGCAGCAGGACCATCAGCCTCCCTCTCCCAGAACCCGGCTGATTTTTTCACCCCAGCCCCCTCGGGGTTACCTTCATGATCCCGTTCCAATTGTCACCCGTGGAGACCTGGAAGAGTGTGAGGAAGGCCATGCCGAAGTTCTCGAAGGTGGCGTGCCTGCTCATGCCCTCGCACGGGTTCTCGTCGTTGCAGACTGGAAGCGGGAAGGAGGTCAGCCCTGCCCGACAGCAGAGCGCCTTCGGGGCTCACCTGGACCCGGTGCCCTCGTCTCCCCTCAGAACCCTCACCACACCCTTGGAGGGGCAGGCAGACTGTGCACAGCCTACAGATAAACTGAGGCTCGGGGAGATGGTGCATGAGCCGGGGCTCAGGTTTTGATGCGTCTGACTCTGTCCCCCACTGAAGAATGGGTTTCTGAGAAAAAGGATGAAATGGGGCGAGGGCCAGCCCCCCAGGGAACCCTGCTTTCCAGAGCTGTCTGGTGTAGGGCGGAGCTCAGCACGTGCTCTGTTGCCCTCTGACCCCGCCCTGGCCTCTCCACTTGCTGGGACGGAAGCTGGCTCAGGACAGGCACCAACACAGGGATGGGAGGGCAGGTTCCCTGGGAGACCAGACAGCTGGGGGATCCAAGCTGGGCTCCAGCACACAGGCCTGGTGAGTGCCCGAGGACACGGGCTGCCTGCTCCCAAGAACTACCCGCACCAAGAAGGGACTGCGGATGGCAGAGGGCCACCCACCCGTGCGCCCTTCTGTAGGCATCTCCCCAACACAGAGACCCTGATGTGACAGGCTGGGGGGGGGGTCTCAGGCCTCCCCCGCTCCCCTGGCCATCCTGCAGCCCCGCTGCACCCCCACCACAGGCTTCCTCCAGGAGTCACTTACCCAGCTTCCCGAAGAGCTCCACCCCGAGGGCAGCGTAGATGAAGAAGAGCAGCATGAAGAGCAGGCCCAGGTTGCCCACCTGCAGGAAGACAGGTGAGGCCGGGCGGGGCTGGGGAGCGGGTAGGGGCACACCTGGCCTGGGAAGGGTGGAGGCTGGGCGATGGGGGTGGGCAGCCTGAGGGTCAGGGCAGCTGTAACATTTCCCCGGGCTGTGTGTCCACGTCTGTCACCCCCACAGGACCTGTAGGGCAGGCTGGGTCCAGCACAGGCCTCAGAATAACAAGAACACGCTCGTGCCGCCTTTACCACAAGCTGCTCTGTTTCCAGCAGTGTGGTTCATGAGCTCACTTTCTCCTCACAATAATGCATGAACTATCTTCTTTTTTTGAGACAGAGTTTCACTCTTTTTACCCAGGCTGGAATGTAATGACATGATCTCAGCTCACCACAACTTCTGCCTCCCGGGTTCAAGCGATTCTTCTGCCTCAGCCTCCCGAGTAGCTGGGATTACAGGTGTGCACCACCATGCCAGATATTTTTGTATTTTTAGTAGAGATGGGGTTTCTCCATGTTGGTCAGACTGGTCTCAAACTCCTGACCTTAGGTGATCTGACCACGTCAGACTCCTAAAGTGCTGGGATTACAAGCATGAGTCACCGCACCCAGCCATGAACTATCTTTTATCCCCATTCTTCAGATGAAGGAGATGGACTGAGAGGTGATGTCACTTGTTCAGAGTCACATAGCTAGTAAACAGGGGTCAAACCCAGCAAGCTGGTCCCAGGGTCCATGCACACAACCTATGCTACACACCTTGTGTGGCTACCAAGGTTGAATGGATGGATAAATGAAGAAAAGGAAGGAGGCCAGGCTCAGTGGCTCACGCCTGTAATCCCAGCATTTTGGGAGGCCAAGGCTGGCAGATCAGGAGGTCAGGAGTTGAAGACCAGCCTGACCAACATGGTGAAACCCCGTCTCTACTAAAAATACACAAATTAGCCAGGCGTGGTGGTGTGTGCCTGTAGTCTCAGCTACTCAGGAGGCTGAGGCAGGAGAATAGCTTGAACTCAGGAGGTGGAGATTGCAGTGAGCCAAGATCACGCCACTATACTCCACCCTGGGTCACAGAGCAAGACTCTGTCTCAAAACACACACACACACACACACACACACACACACACACACACACACAGAGGAAGAAGAAGGAGAAGAAGAAAGGAGAAAGGGCAGGGAGAAGGCAGGAGGTCTCGGCACTAACACTAGCTCCTCTACAAAACCACGGAAATGCACTTGTCCCTTTCACTGTCATCTGCTGGTCTGGGAAATCTTCAAGAGCAGGAACACAGCTGCATGAAGTCAGATGTGCCTCCTTGGGCCAGCACAATGCCTGGCCACAGAGAGGAGCGAAGGCAGGAATCATGCAGGTCGGGGGCCCCAGAAGCCTTTGCCAAGCCAGCCACCCCCGTCCTGCAGCTCCGGTGGGAGAAAGCATCCTGGATTCCAGACCTAGTTCAAATCTATCCATGCACAGAGACCACCTTTAACTGATGCTATGGAGAAGACAAGGCTCAAACACTTCCTTGCCCTAGAAATGGAATGTCTCTTAGAAGGCTCAGGAGGCCTGCGTGAAGAGAATCAGAAGACGTTCACATTAATTGTTGGAAAGTAAACCCCGTTCGTTAATCACTGCTCCTTGAGTTTCTCCGCTCCACTCCAGAGCAGGGATTCCTGCCCAGCCCTTCTGCACTGCTAGTGTCTAATTAAATGACATTCCCTTCATTAATAAAACAAGCACTTACTGAGCACCTGTGAGGCAGACTGTATGGCCCTGACTGCTGAGAAGGATCTGGCGTGGCTGAAGCCCTAGGATTTCAGCTTTGTGCCCTGCGCAGGCCGGGGCTGGCAGCATCTCTTAACCAGGATTGCCTTCAGCTTTTCTATCTGACCCCTCCTGCGTCAGCATCTCAGAGCCGGCAGAGCTGTGGCAGCCTCCTCACCAGCTTCCCTACCTCCAGCCTCTCCCTCCAATCCACTCTGCTCCCAGCCACCAGAACCACCTTCTTAAAGGCAGCTCTGGCTGCAACCTCCCTTGTCTAGAACCCTGCTGTGGCACCCAGTGCCTGCAAGAAAAAGCCCGATGTTGCTGCCCTGGCATTGAAGGTGTGCTGTGACCTGACCCCCCAAGGACCCCCTCCTAGCCTGATCTTCCAACCCCCCACACTCCACCCACATAGAAAACAAGCCCCACAGTGCCTTGGCATACTCTTTTCCCTCTGCAGGGAGGACCCTCTGTCTTTACCTGGCAAATGCCTCCTCCCCACCGCTCAAAGCCCCATCCATGGGTCACCTCTCCTGAGAAGCCTTCTCTGGTGCCTCCTCCCTCTTCCTGGGGCAGAGCCTGGTGGGAAGAGGCTGAAGTTTCATTTTCCTAGCACTTTCCATAGAACCGAGGAAATGGCCAATGTCCATACAACAACATGAGCATCAGCGAATGGATTTTGAGGGGTAAGCACCATTTCACAACCAGCGACACGTGGCACGCACGTCTTCTAAAGTGCTGATGCAATTGTAATGACTACCGTGGGTCTCCTGCTGGAGGCTGGGATGTCCTGAACATCTCCACGTGCTGTACCCTGTGCCAGCTCAGCACTGGATTTGGGAGTCATGATAGGACTGCCCAGGGGTCAGAGAATGGAGAAGGGGAGTAGGAGCAAGGAGGGCCAGGGAGGCCGAGGCACACACCCTCCATCCCCATCCCTAGCAGCCTCTTACATGCCTAGTTCATGGGACGTGGCACGTAAGAGGCTGCTAGGGATGGGGATGGCATGCTTTATGAGCTTTAACCATCTGAAACCTCACTGCAGCCCTTTGAAACATGCACTTGAGGGAGCGATGCGTCACCATCATCCTCATTTTACAGGCAAGAAAACTGAGGCACAAAAAGCTTCAAGTCCCCTGAAGGGATTTAGTGTTAGGAAAAGCCACACGTCTCTGAATAAATACCATTGCTTTCCATCCAGACCACGTCACTTTCCCTTTACAATGAGGCTGCTGGGACGCTCACACCAAACTCAAGAACAGAACTCACGGGTGTCCTTAGCCAGGGTCCCTGAAAGAATTAGCTCTGCATCCACCTTCCCTGGGCTGTTAATCTTGTATCCTCGTTTTTAATGTGTGGTATCTGTATTTTAAGGCGCCTAAAGTTCCTGACAGTTCTGTGAGTCATAATGAATAAATAAATATGCCTGAAGCTCAGCTCAGAGCAGAGGCCACCCTGAGGGGAGGGGGAAGGGGAGCCTCAAGCAGTCAAGACAGTGGGGGAGGGAAGGACTGGGATTGCAGAATTCCCAAGAGGATGAAAAAGATGCCCTCTGTGGCCCTGTTTACATCTCCCCTTTCACTAACGACAGAGTGCAGGTGGAGGGACTTCCCTAAATTCCCAGATGCCCACCTGGGTCAGGGTCTCACGCTGTCCCTCCTGGAATGCCGTCTTGGAACCTCCCCATCCACACTGCCACCTCCTACCAAGCCACCCTTGGAAGTCCAGCTCAGTCTCCTTTCCTAGGCTGCCTTCCCTCATCACCCCAGGGAGTGTCCAGCACTCCTCTCTCTCTGGAGCCTGCTGGAAGTCCCTCCCCACATTTCCCTGAAGTATCCGTCTCCCCCCATCAGCCTGGGGGCAACCAAGAGCATGATGTGGACCCTCAGTGCGTGCACAGGGCTGGACACAGAGTGGCACTGGCGACGACGTGGTGAAGCCGGAAGAAAGAAGCAGAAAGGGACCCTTCCCGCCTCTCAGGTCCGGGCTCAAAGTGCATCCCCAGAGACAGCATCTGCCCTGGCTCTGGCAGGTGCAAGGAGAAGGGAAATCAGGGCCTGCACACCCCAGTGCCCAGCTTGACTCCGATGACCCCTAGAAGGGCTGCCAGAAAGAGTGGCTCTTACCTGGGGCAAAGCTTGCACCACTGTGTCCAGCAAGGCCCGCATCCCTGTGGCCATCTTCAACAGCTTCAGCACTGCAGGCGAGACCCAACCCTGCCCACTCAGTCCCGGGGCAGCAAGGACATGTGTTTTCACGTGCATGTGCGCGTGTGTAAACTCGGGAGAAGAGTGAGAACATGGAGGTGCGTGCAATCAGAGTTCGGCTCTCAGATGCCACATTACACAACGTGGGTGGGTGCAGCCACAGGGTGAGTGGGGCATGCACAAAAACGTGTGGACACAAGTGTGGGCGTCACTGTAAAAAACGCCTCAGAGGACGGGGCATAGCCAGGGGAACAGAGGTCTATGAAGTGTGTGAATGAGTGCACCATGAACAGTCATGGGCAAAAAGGGCCAGCATGAGTGGCCACATCTCTTCCTTTCCCCTCTTGAGAAAGAAGATTCTGGCATCACTCGCTGAGTTTCTGGCAGGCAGAAGACCATGAGGCACCTCGGCGTGCCCTGAGGCAGGAGGCTTTTAAAAGAAGAAGCCGGCCGGGCGCGGTGGCTCAAGCCTGTAATCTCAGCACTTTGGGAGGCCGAGGCGGGTGGATCACGAGGTCGAGAGATTGAGACCATCCTGGTCAACATGGTGAAACCCCGTCTCTACTCAAAATACAAAAAAAAAATTAGCTGAGCATGGTGGCGCATGCCTGTAATCCCAGCTACTCAGGAGGCTGAGGCAGGAGAATTGCCTGAACCCAGGAGGCGGAGGTTGCGGTGAGCCGAGATCGCGCCATTGCACTCCAGCCTGGGTAACAAGAGCGAAACTGCGTCTCAAAAAATAAATAAATAAATAAAATAAAATAAAATAAAAGAAGAAGCCACCTTGAGGGGAGGGAGAAGGAGGCTCTGAAGACCCTGCGTCCCAGTCACTGTGTTTGAGAAACACCAGCAAGGAGCTGAAGGTGTTCCCCATCTTCCCAGCTGGACTGGGTTCCTTGCATAACACTCTGAGACTGGACCCCATGGGTCATGGTGTTATAAGGAAGTGGGAGTATGTGCCCATGTGTGTTGTGCAAAGCTGTCTGTGTGGTGGGGGAGGTGTGTGCACACAGAGGGTGCATGCATGTGTGTTGGCTGTGTGCCTCCCAACTCTTGCTCACCCCTGCTCAGCAAGGAGCCCACCATGCCCACGAACTCCTGCCCCCACCTCTCCCCACCCCACTCCTGTGTGCTCTCATCAGGCAATGGGGAGTCTCATCCCACCCCTGCTTGTCCCTATCCCCTGTCCCATCCCCTGCCCCTCACCTCGGGCAATGCGCAGGACCCTCATGATTCGGATGATGGTGGGGTTGATGGGCAGGGCTGCGTTGATCTCAATCTCCTCCAGGGTGATGCCCATGACTGACAGTAGCACAATGGCCAGGTCCAGCTGGTTCCATCTGCTCGGCCGTGCATGGGAGAGCAGGAGTAGGCATCAGGAGGATCTCTCTGGTTCAGACACACCTTAGTGGGGGAGCCTGACCCATTGGGTTGTGTGGCTGCCCTCCCTTACTAACACCTCCTAATGCCACTGGGTCCAGGCCCCTCTCTGCTCCCCATAGCCATCATTCCCTCACGCAAGGGGCTGATCAGGCTAAATAAACATCTGTGGCCTCCTTCAGAAGAGGAGGCATGGACTGTAACTTCTAGGACTAATCTTGACCTGGCTGCTCCTTTTGTGTGGCCTTAGGCTAGTCCATCAACTTCTTCGAGCCTCACTTATTCCCTTGGGAAAAAAAAAAAGCAGATGGTGCTTTGCCCGTAGGGTACACAGAGCCTACCAAAGATGAGCCAAGAAGGGCCAAGTAGAATAGCCTGCATCCGTCAGATGAGACCATAATCATTTCCTGTTCAGAGTTATAAGCAGCAGCTGGGCACTTGTCCATCAGTGCCTAGATGCTTACTGGTTTCCCTCCTCAAGCTGCTCCAGGCTTCTCTAAGGGTCAGGACTGCTTCCTCGTCCTGCAGTCTACCCTATTACTGCCCTAGCCCAGCCTGGCCACTCACCGGTCCTTGAAGAAGCGCCTCAGACCAAAAGCCACCAGCTTCAGCACAGCCTCCAGCACAAAGACAGTGGTGAACATGTAGTTGCAGTACTTGAGGGCTGTCTCCAGAGACTATTGAGGGCAAAGAAAAGCATGATCCAGGGCACATGACCTGCTCCCCAACCTTCCTCCACTCAGAAAGTCTCTGGCTTTTAAGGAGAAAATTTAATCTATTTACTTTTAGTGTAATTATTTATATGCTGTTTTATTCTTTCCATCTTAATGTGTACTATTTTTTTATGTTGTTATTTCTTCTGTTTTCTTTTTCTTATTTCTGTGTGTCTGGTCCAGCTGGTCCCCTTTGGAGGCAATACAGGGTATTAATGAAGAGCTACTGAGCCAGACTGCTTACATTTGAATCCTGGCTTAGTGCTCACTCCTTATTCATCATATGATCTTGAGTAAGTCATTTCATCTTAGAAAGCTGCTATGAAAATTAAATGAGCTAATAGTTTAGTGCTGGACACAGGACAATACTTGGTCAATGTAAGCTATTATTATTCCAATTTTTTTCCTGTTAATTAGGAAGTTCTATAACTGTTGTTTCATTCTGCCAATGGTTATCTTTCTTTTTCCTGCATTCATAATATTCCTCTCCTATCATTTGAAATAAGGTATTAATTCCACACCTGGAGGCTCTGCTTCCCTCTTCTTCCCCTCCAACTCCATCAAGGTTTTTAGAATGCACTTTCTCCTCACATGCCCCTCACATATCCGGTCTGCAGCAAGCTGGGAAATGGTCATCCTCACCCACCCCCAATGTTTACCTGAGATAGTTCTTCCACCCTTTTCCCAAGTCTCCATATGCCCAGGAAGTAACCGAAGCTACATGGTAGGCTTTGAATGCAAATCTAAGTTCCAGACTTGGTTCACTACCTATGGCTGAGCAACTTGCACAGGATTAACATCTCTAAGCCTCAGTTTCTTCACCTATAAAATCTGTACAAAGGATTCCCCCTGCCAGATTAAAAAGTTCATAGATGTAGTGTGCCTTGCAAAGAGTCAGTATTTAACACACCACAATCATTACCACCCATGTGCAGGCCAGGGTCCAAATGTTGCCTCCCTGACCCACCTTCTCGCTGACCCTTCCCTTCCAGGCCCTGAGCTTCCTGAGGGTAAGCTTGTCCTGCACCTCCTCCCACTGCAGTGCCCAGCATAGAGCTCAGCATGGAGGGGCTGCTCAGATCCTGCTGTCAGCTAACCCCTTCCCCACCCTATACCTGGGGTGGGGTCCTGCTGAGACCCCACCCTCACCTTGTAACCTTAGGCTGGAAGGCAGACCAGGGCTCACCGTGGGCTGATTGTAGTGCTCCAGGGACATAGTAACCACATTAAGGCAGATGATGAAGGTGATGAAAATGTCCAGGTAGTGGCTGGTACACATGGAGTGGATTAGCAACCGGGTGTGACAATAGGTGGCATAGTAGGGCAGCCGCTGGGCCTCTGCAGGGGATATAGGGGGAGTGGCACATACCACAGAAGGTTGGGGTCAAGGAACAGGGCACAGAGCACAAAGGACAGAAAGGTGGAGGAAAGGGAGGGGCAAGGAGGAGGATGTCCGTCCACCCCAGGCCCTGGAATCCATGTTAGAGCCCCTCCACCCAGCCAAAGCACCATGAGAGAAATGGTGGGGAAAGGTGACAAAGAAGGCAGAACATTCATTCTCCCCATCAACCCCAAACAAGCTTATGGCAAGAGCTCTGGGCCTGCCTGTAGGGAGGGCAGGGTTCCCATGGCCCAGGGCACCCAGGCTCTGCCTTTGCCCTTTGCCTGGACTGAACCCCCCACAGCCTCACTCAGGTTGGCAGTGGTGTCAGCCATTGGACTCCAGGTGGACTCTGATGGGGCTCAGGTCCCCTGGAGAGGAAGATGCTGGGAAAAGCAGCTGAGCCCTGGGCACAGGGACTATATCTTTTGTTCCCTTCCAGCTCCAAAGGCCCAGGAGGCTGGGGTCAGGCCCAGGCAGAGGGGCCTAAAGCTGGGTGGCCCATGCCCTCCACAGGCACCCACTCACTCCGGCGCTTCTTCTCCAGGCGCCGCAGCCGCTTCTCCTCACGCCGCCGTGCCTCTTCAGCCTCCTGGTGCTGCCGGCACTTGTGGAAGTTCTCCACCACGACGCCCACAAACATGTTGAGCACAAAGAAGCTGACGATGAGCAGGAAGGAGATGAAATACAGCAGCATCCAGGGGTTGTGGTTGGTCACAGGCTGCAGGGGAGCCAGAGAGGGCTGAGGAGGCTGATCAGGCCCTACAGGGCCATGGGCAGGTGCCCAACCTGGCTGAGCCTCCATGAAGTGAGGGTGTGTTGAGCATTCCTCCAGGAAGGCAGCTGTGAGGTCTATATGAGGCAGCAGGTAGGAAGTAAATACCCTGGGTATGGCACAATAATGTGCTCAGCAAAGAAAGCCACCTCTCCTTCCCTGCTCAGCTGCCGCCTCCTGGACACATCTGTCTTCTTCCTATCATTCACCTATCCATTCACCTATGCATGCATCTATCTATCCATCCATCCATCCATCCATCCATCCATCCACCCATCCACCTATCCTTCCACTCACCCATCTACCCACCCATCAACCCACCCACTCATCCACTCATTCACCCATCCATCCACCCACCCATCCATCCATTCACCCATCCATGCATCCACCCATCCATCCACCCACCCACCCACTCATTCACCCATCCATCCACCCACCCATCCACCCACTCATCCATTCATGTATCCACCCATCCATCCACCTGCCAGCCAATCACCCATCCATCTACCCATCCATCCACCCACCCATTCACCCATTCATTCATCCACCCATTCACCCATCCACTCACCCATCCACCTACCCATCCATTCATCTACCCATCAATCCATCCATCCATCCATTCACCCATCCATCCATCCATCCACCCATCTACTCTCCCATTCATCCATTCACTCATCCACCCACCCATCCATCCATCTACCCATCCACCCATCCATCCATCCACCCATCCACTCACCCATCCATCTACCCATCCATTCATGTATCCATCTACTCACCCATCTATCCTTCCATCCTTTCATCCATCCATCCATCCACCCGCCCATTCACCCACCCAGCCAGCCAGCCACCCATCCATCAATACATTCATCCATTCACTCATCCACCCATCCACCCACCCATCCATCCATCTGCCCATCCACCCATCCATCCATCCATCCATCCACCCATCCACTCACCCATCCAGCTACTCATCCATTCATGTATCCATCTACTCACCCATCTATCCATCCTTCCATTCCCATCCATCCACCCACCCATTCAGCCACCCATTCAGCCAGCCACCCATCCATCAATACATCCATCCATCCACTTATTCACCCATCCAGAAACAAGGCAGGAAACAAGGTGGCCAGCAGAGGGAAGAACTTGGATGCACAGATTCCTTGGTGGAATCTGTGTATGCACATGCATGCATGCACTGGTGGGGGTGAGGGGGCAGAGCAGACAAGGAAGTAGAGGAAGATGCATCCAAGTGTTCTCATTACTCCTACCCAATACTGCCACCCTCACTTACAGCTCCAGAGTTTTACTGGATGGGATCCATGAAGCCAAGAACCAAAGGGCCATTATAGGCCTGGGAGTTGCACACTGCCCTGCCTCCACCAAGTGGGCACTGTTTTAAGCTAGAAAAGTTTACTGTTCTTTCTCCCAGTGACCACCTCAGTCCAGACATAGTCAACCCAAGTCAGCCACACATCTTGCCTAAAGTCCCTCCCTAGCCCCAGAGGAACCCCTGCTTCCCAAGGGACCTCGGAAGCCAAGCCTGAGTCTCTTCCCTGACCTTCTTCACCCAATCCCCCTCCCCAAATCCATCTTCACCCAGCAGCCCTCAGGAGGTTGCACTGACAAGCAGATCTGAAAAGCAGGGGCACCACTCTTGTTGCAAGTCCCTCACTGGCTCTCTCTGCTCTCAGAATAAACTTTGGCCCCTTGTCATGGCTCACTCAGGAGCTTGCAGACCACTCAGCCCTACCTGCCTCTTCTCCCCACCTCCTACCTCTCTCATTTTTTACCCCTGGCCCCTAACTCCCAATTCCCTGAACACGTCACTCTCTCACCTCTCTGCTCCTCTGCCTGCTGGCTCAGCCCCTCTTCTCTGCCTGCACTTGGTCTTCCACCCACCAGGCTCTGTGCCTCTCTAGGCAGGAGTGGCTCAGATGCCTCTCCACACAGAGCAGGGGGGTTTGCCAAAGCAAATGGAACAACGATTTACACTACCCAAGGAGCCGCCCTAATGGTGAAGATACAGGCCAGGATAAGAGGGGTGGGCTGTGCTGACAGTGGGGAGACACTGGGGTTGTGGGTCTCACTGATGCCAGTTTCAAATTCAAACCACTGGGCCCCAAGGACACCATGTCCCTCCCTGCATCCAGGCTTGGCCTGGTTCCAGCGACACCCACCTGCTGATCCACAGCGACAGCATCCAGTCCATTGTACATGATGTTCACCCAGCCATCCTTGGATGCCAGAACAAAGAGGGACATCAGAGCCTGGGAGACACGGGGAGAAGGAATGCAGGGGTGAGGGGTGTGAGTGACTCCAGCTGCAGCCACCCCTTCTCAGCTCTCTATTCTTCTGCCTCTGGGAGGCAGAGGGACAAGGAGGTCTTCCCTGTGTGGTAGGGCTGTGCCCTCATCCAACAAACCTTTCCAAATGACCTACTATGTGCCCACCACATATTCTGTAGTTGCTCTTATAGAAGAAAGAGTGCTAGACCCACAGTCCTGGGTTTTGGTCTCAGTTCTGAAATTATCCCGCTGTGTGATCTTGGGCAAAAAAATTCAATTCCTGCCCCCTTCCCCAAAGAATGGAGCTAACAAATGCCTTTCTGGTAGGTGTGCTGGGAGGGCCAGCTGAAGCTCAACCAGAAAGTCCCGCCATCCTTACTCTAGTGGGTAAGACATGCTTGCCCCAGCATCTGACAACAGGAGTTCATGAGAGGAGTCAGGAGTCCTGGGTCAGAGGTGGCCACACTCCCTCTGCTCCTGCCACTGTGGGCCAGGACATGGGGTTCTGGAATGAGTCTCTGGCCTGGCAGCACTGGCCCTTCCTTCCACCATCCAGAGCACAGACCCCTGCCTCTTCCCTTTCCAGGTGGGAATGGTGCCGAGGGTGTCCAGAAAGGGTTCAGACCCAGGAGCAGGAAGGGCAGGGGACACAGAGGAAGCCCTCCCCAACCCCCCACCAAGGGCACAGGAGGCTCCTACATTCGAAGAACCTGCCATCACTGTCCCCATTGACAGATGAGGACACTGGAACAGATGAGGGTCTGGCACTTGTCTGAGGTCACACAGCTGGAGAGGACCACTGAGGAGTCAGAGGCTGCAGCCCAGGCTGGAACCCTCCAGGTGGCTCCGAGTGCTGAGAACACTCCACAAGGAATTCCAGGAGAGCCCGATGCCAGGTAGACCCAAAAATGCTCCAAAGGAGCAGGGCTGGCACTGGAGCAGAGCCCATATGTGAAGGGAGTCAGGAGCATGGGCACAAAAGGCCACAGGTGGGCTCCCCCTCAGCTTCCTAAGACATCTTTTCCCCATGGGGGCAGGGGTAGTGACTGTACCAGTTCCTAACACCCTTTCCCTGGGCACTCACTGCCCCTCTGAGGCCCTGTGGCTCTCCTCACAGGTGGCATTGGGGGACAAGCCCTCCAGTGGTATCTAGCTGGAGGCTGCCCATCAGCCAGTGGGGACACGAGCCTGGAGCCTGCTCCTCCCTGTGCTCCTGGGGCAAGGCAAGCCTGCATCTGGACATACCTGGGCTCCTGGGCAGGTCCTCGAGAAATGAGAGCAGCTCTGGGGGGAGGGGAGGCAGCCAGCCAAGGGCTCTCACCTGGGGCACTGCCCAGATGGGTCTTGCCTGGCAGGCCCCCAGGAGAGGAGACCAAGGGAAAAGCAGACACTGGAAAGGGGCTTGCCTGTTGATGGAGCAGAGAGCAGCTGGCGAATGATGGGAGAGGGAACCACTCTGGGCCAAGGGCTTGATACACTTGATACCTTTTAATCTCTACCGTGGCCTGCCTGGCAAGCTATAACATTCTCATTTCATAGATGATGAAACTGAGGCTCACTTACAGGGAGGCCACACTTAGAGAAAGTGGCAAAGCTAGATTCACTCTTGACTAAAACTCCTGTCAGTGTCCCCTGGGTAGGGGTGAGGTGTCTGCTGGACACTGCACGCAGACCCCTGAGCTTCATCCCATCTGACAGGTGAGTGCTACCCTTACCCATTTTGCAGAAGAGGAAACTCAGGCTTGAGAGGAGAAGTCAGTGTCAGTTCTGGCAGTGCAAGTCTGAAGTCTGGCATCCGAGAGAGGGGAAGGTGTGATCAGGACTAGGAGGGCAGCACTCACCTGGCCCAGGTTGTCGAAGTTGTATTTGTGATGGACCCAGCGGTAGTTGGCAGCCATGCAGTCCGAGCGGTTGGTGATGTTACGGGTGTCCACACCCAGGCAGTGGTAGAACTTGCCTTTGAAGAGCTGGGGAAAAGGGGGCAAGGTTGGTGCTCTCACGAGTGGGAGTTGTGAGTCAAAAAGAAATCTGCCTCTTCATCTCATAGACTCAGCCTGCCTTGTGCTCAGTCATCTGGGCCCGTGTCTGTCTCCCTCCCTGGAGGGGGAGCCCACTGCTGGCAAGGCAGATGGCTGGCCAGCAATGGATGGTGGCGGTTGGAATGTGGAGTCTCTCCCCTGGCTGTGGGAGACTTCCTCTTCCCCAGTCACAGACCTCAGTCCCCGCCCAGCCTGGGTGCCCCTCACCTGAACTCCCAGGATGCCAAAGATGATGAAGAAGGCACAGCAGATGAGCACGATGTTGCCGATGGGCTTGAGGGAAGAGATGAGCGTCTCCACCACCAGCTTCAGGCCTGGTGCCCGGCTGATGACACTACGGGCAGGGAGAGGCCAGGCACACATGAACCTTTGGCCAGGCCAGGAGGCAGCCCTCACTCAGCCCAGAGTCACCAGGGCTGAGCATCCCAGGGCAGGAGCCCCAGGGCTCACCAGGGCTGAACACCCTAGGGCATGAGGACAGTCGCCGGGAATGCAGAGAAAATGGCCAGGCAACCTAGACATGGGCAGAGCAGGAGGCGAGCTGCACCCAGGCCTCAGATCTACGGCAGCAGCAGGGCACCTGCCCTCACCCCTCACTGTGCCCAGCTCCTCAGGGGCCGTACCATACCCTGATCTAGGGACTGACGCCCAGAGATAGCAATGAGCCACCCGGGGACACGCAGCGTGGGTAGCAGTACTGGAGTCCACCTTCAGCCCTGCTCTTCCAGCATGCCTCGTCCCCAGCGTCTGCAGACCCCTCCCCTGGGAACAGCCCAGGGTGCCTGGCACTCACTATTGGAGGACTGAGTGGGCGGGTGGGGAGGGCGGAGTGAGGGCCCAATTCGGCCCGTGGCTTCTCTGTACAGTGCATGACACCTTCCCCCATCCGCCGGGGAGGGGTCCTCACCGCAGGGGGCGCAAGGTGCGCAGGAGCCGCAAGACTCGGAGGACCCCCAGGATCTTGGCTCCCCCGGCCGAGGCCACAGACACCACGATGTCGATGATGGACACGAAGACAAGAAAGCCGTCCAGCACGTTCCAGCTGCTGCGCAGGTACGCCTGCTCGCCGAAGTACAGGCCCAGCGAGACCACCTGGGGCGGGAAGGGGGGTAGGTGGGCGGGGCCAGCCGGGCTCTGCGCGAGGGGGCGGGGCGAGGCCCGGTGGGCATCGCGGGGTTAGGGCGGGCTCCGGCAGGTGGCTGGCGGAACAGAAGGGTTGAGTTCAGACCTCACTCTGAGGGCGGGTAATGGGCGGGGACGAGGCGGGGTCAGGGCCTAGCGGGCCGCCCCGTTAGGTTCCCGGCGCCTCTGGCAAATCCAATTCAAAACTGCCCACCCTGGGAAGCGCCCAGACGAAAGGCTGCCCCTGAGCCCCACACCTCCAGCAGGTGCCTCCATCACACTCAGCGTTCCCTACACCAGTCAGTCTGGCGGGGTTGTGATTCCTGTGAATGGGGACGCGGCTGACCTTTTCTGGGTCGCGGAAGCCCAGCCCAGGATCTGATACCCAGATAGGTGGGGCCACGAGGCTACGAGTGGAATGAGGCCGATAGCAGGTGAGTGATGAGCTGAGGCAGGGGCTGACCCAAGGCCAGAGGGACCGAGCTGGGGCTGGCAGGGGTCCCGGGTGAAGCCAGGAGCTACCTTCAGTGTCATCTCGCCCACAAAGATGGCCGTGAAGATGTAGTTGGACACGGTGAGGAAGATGCGTTCCTGAAAGCGTTGGGAGATACCGTGGACCCAGGGGCTCCCAGACCTGCCCAGCCACTGGCCAGCCTCTGCTTTGGCCAAGGTGCGTGCAGAAGAGGCCACCACCTCTCAGTTCAGGGAGGCTTTCCCCGCTCCCGAGGCAAACTCCCTGTCCCGCCTTGAGGTGCCCAGTGAGGTCTCCGCCTCCCTCAGCCCTGGGGAGCTGCCCCTGGCTTGGCCCTGCCCTAAGGGCTGCAGCCACTCACGGTGCTGCCGGCCTCGATTTGAGGCCGCTCCAGGGCGATGGTGATGCAGTTGAGAAAGATGAAGGCCAGGACGACGTAGTCGAAGAGCTTGTGGGCAATGATGGTCTGACACAGAACCCGGAACCTGGGCAGGGTGGGCGGGGGCAGCCTGAGCATCAGCTGCCTCCCACCCTGGCCAGAACGAGGCAGAGAGCCCAGGCAGAAGTGCAGACCAGGCTGGACTCGAGGAAGCAACCCCTCTCCTCTCCTCTAGCCACACAACAGGTGCCAACTCTACACCTGCTCAGGGTGCCCACCTGGCACCACCTCCTCTGACCACACACCCACACCACCAGGTCACCCACCTTGCCCTGGCACTCTCGAGGCTTCCCCAGCCCAGATCCCTAAGCCTGTCATGAGGACACCACACTGCCTGGTACCCTCTGGTTTTGCCCCAGGCCTTCCCTTAGGCTGCTCCCTGCCCCTGGGCCAGGCTCCTCTTCTTCACAGACCCTGCTGTGCCTACTGGAATGCCACCTGCCTCCACAGACCAGCACAAAGGCCTCCTCCTCCAATAAACCTCCTGACGTTCCCTCCAGATGCAAGCCCTACAGGCTACTTGAGGATGGTTCAACCTGGTTCCCAGCACAGGGATGGCCTAGACTAGAGGAGAGCCTGGCCACCAACATCCGGCCCCTCCCTCTCCCCTGGAGACCCCCAGCCTCTGGGCCAGCAGGGTCTGCTGTGGTCTGGGAGAGCGCCACCAATGGCCCTGCCTGGCTCGGCAGAGACCTGTCCCTCCCGCGTCACCCCTACTCTAACCCTCACCCTAGGCCTGACCCCGCACACCTGTTATCGGGAGAGAAGAGGTAGACAGACCAGTCTTCGCGGACCTCGCACCAGTCGGGCTTATAGACGTCGATCATCTTGCGGACGCGGAAGCATAGGGTCTGGCGAGAGGAGGACCGAGCGCCAGGGGTCAGCGCTGCGCAGGGCTGCCCGTCTCAGCCCACGCGGCCATCCCGCCAACTGGGGTCGCAGGATCACCTCCGAACTCTGCCCATCCGGTGCAGCCAGCGAGGGTTCCTCTCCCAGGAGCGGGCCCAGTTCAGGTGTGGGCAGTACTGGCCCCGCCCCTCCTGCCTCGCGATACAGCTCCTGAAGGTACAGCCCCTCTGGCCACGCCCCGGCCACGCCCGCTCGGGCCCCGCCACCTGCGGCCGCACCCCATTCTTTCCAATCCCACCTCTCCGGTCCCCTTCGGCCCCGCCCCCACTCACGTAGTCTATCTCCTCCTCATCCTCCCCGCGATCCCGGCGGTCGCCCATCTTGGTGAAGACGTCCTTGGCGATGCTGGGCATCCTGCCATTGCAGTCCTCGTGCCCGGGGGCCGGGCCCGGCGCCCTCCAGGCGGCCCGGGGGTGGGCGCCCACCGCGGGCACCAGCTCGGCCAGATCCACTGAGTCCCTGGTGTCGAGGGACAGCGTCCGGCGGTGGTGGCGGTGGCGGTGCGCCAGATGGGGCCCGTGATGGGCGTGGTGGGCGTGCGGGGAGTGCAGGGGCGCGGCCCGCGGCGGCCCCTCGTCCCCGGCACACTCGCAAACCCGGGCGCCGCCGCCACCACGCTCCGCGGAGAGCAGAGACTCGTGCTCGGCCGATGGCGGCTTGTGCTTGAGGCTGTTCCAGCTGGAGCGGCGGCTGGCCCAGGCCCCGCTGCGGCCCCACGGCCCGTAGTAGGAACTCCGGGAGCTGGACTGGGAGGAGACCCCGCCCGGGTCAGTGCCCCACAGGCACACCCATGGGTGGGTCACCAGGTGCAGGAAGGCAGCCTGCACCTCCGCTGTGGCTCTAAGAGTGCCACCCACCTGGCAAGTGGTGAAGAAATGGGCTTGACCCTAGAGCTCCTCTCCCTGTCCCACCTCATTCCATCCACATCCACAGGGACATGGGGGCACATCACCCAGAGGTTACATCCCCTCCTGTCACCTCACTTCCCTTGAGGAAGGTACAGCAAATTAGAGCCATCTTCCCATTTTACACATAAGGAATCTGAGGCTCAGAGAAGGGCAGTAATTTGCTCATTGTAACACAGCTTGGAGGTGGCAGAAGCTGGATTCAAGCTGCAGCCTGCCTGACCCCAAAAGCCAGCTCTTTTTACCCGACACATTGCCGCTGAGATGAAAACCCAGTTCTCTGCACCAGACCCCACTGGCACTAGGCATTCATTCCTTATTGCCAGGTCCCACTGTGGCACTGGGCACCCAGGAATGCAACAGACATACCCCTGCCTGACTTTGGCTGGGCTCCAGAGTCTGAGGCTGGACTGGCAGGTACCTCTCCTCAGGGGACCTCCACGCATACCCCAGCAGGAAGATCCCATCGGGGGCTCCCCATAAGAACTCACCAGGGAGCGTTGATCATAGCTCATCCTCCCCAGAGACATGACGCTGCTCTTTCGGGAGCCCAGGGCCACCAGCATGGGGTCCGGCTGCAGTGAGAGTCGGGGGGCAGGTCCCATGGCCCCAGCAGGACCTAGGTGCCCACCCAGCGGGAGACTGGGGTCCAGGTGCCCATTGGGGGTCATGGGGATTGGGCAGAGCTTGGGATCTGGAGGAGTGAGATGGAAACAGAGGAAGGGACAGAAGGCAGAGAGGACAGAACAAGAGCAAGGGAGGCACAAGACAAACAAACAAGGAAGGAGCAGAAATGGAGAGCTTTTCTGAGGAGGCTTCCTCTACCAGGAAGTCTTCCTGGTTGCACCCCAACACAGCACCTCCCCTCCGCTCTGCCTGCAGGGCTCTCAGCTTTATTTAGGTATGTGTGGACACCTTGCCTTCCGTGCTCAGGAGCAGCCTGGAGCCTTACTGCCATGCCCACTGTGGGAAACCAGGCAGGGACTGCCCACCCCGGTTACTAAGAAAGACACTGGGCTAGGTTTGGGAGACACTTGTTCCAAGCTGCCCGGTGGTGCCAGGCAGGACCAGAACATAGGCCGAGACCTGAGACCCTGAGGCAGTAACCAAGGGGCCCTACTGTGTGGAGGGATGTGGCCGGCTGCAGCTACCCTTGTACCTAGAATCCCAGGGGTCTGTGGATGTCACTGACCTCTTTTTGAGATTTCACATTTCTTCTAATTATGAAGGTAGATAAAAAACCATAGAGAAGTAGCAGTCCCTGAGCCTGGGCTTGAGGGGAAGTCAGACACTGTCCCCTCTTGGATCTGGGAGGAAGGCTCTTGGCCCTGTAGGTGACAAGCAAGGGCCTGTTTACCTCCGCTGCTGTCCAGGCCTTCCTGGAGCTTGTCAAACTCCTCCATGTTGGATGAGCTCTGGTCCTCGTCCGAGTAGGAGCGATTGGCATCACCCTGGGAGAGCGTCCCTCATGTTAGAACGCAGATCAGCCCAGCTCCTCCCTTCCCAGCTCCCTCCTGAATTTTTCCATGGGTGTTTCCACCGCCATTTTACAGATGGGAAAACTGTTGGAAAAGGGGAATGAGATGCTAAAGGACCCTAGGCCACAAAGCCAACTCTGCCTGACTGCACCCATCCCCAGAGCCTCAGGGGATGCAGGAAGCAGGGCCCAGAGCCCCTGATCTTAGGGGATTTCGAATCTCAGAGATGGAGAAGCCTAGTCCTACAGCCCTTGGGGAGAACAGGGATCGCAGATGCAGTATCTACTTGCATGCTTCCTATGATGAAGAGCTCACCACCTCATCAGTAACCCCCTCCTTTGGGGATAGGTTACCTGCCAGACAACTCAGGAGGTCGAGACCAACCTGGCTAACATGGTGTAACCCCGTTTCTACTAAAATACAAAAAATTAGCCGGGTGTGATGGAGCGCGCCTGTAATCCCAGCTACTCTAGAGGCTGAGACAGGAGAATCGCTTGAACCCAGGAGGTGGAGGTTGCAGTGAGCTGAGATGGCGCCATTGCACTACAGATTGGACAACAAAAGCAAAACTCCGTCTCCAAAAAAAAAGAAGTTTGAATTGCAGCCCCTCCCCCACCCAGGCCACCTCACTCTTGCCCAGTCTTTTGCATGCCCTGTGGGGGTGCCTCTGCTGCCAAGACCACAGTCACCTCCGCCTGGAAGCCCTCCACCAGGATAGCCACCAGCAGATTGAAGAGCACATAGTTCCCGAAGGTCATGAGGGCGACAAAGTAGAGGGAGGCCCAGGGGGAGGTGGAGGCCATGCCATTGTAGAGAACGACGTTCCAGTCCTCCTGGGTAAGGATCTGTCGAGGAGATACAGTCAGCCCTGGGGCACCCCTAGTCCAGGCATACGCGCTACAGGGAGGCGTGAGGGCTGTCAATCCCTGCCCCTCCCCGGCCAACTGTCCCATTGCTTCCCCAACACACACAGACACACAGCAGCCCCTAACCTGGAACACGGTGACGATGGCCCACAGCAGAGAGTCGAAGTTCTTCCTGTCGGGGACCGTGTCTCCGGTGTCTGTGCGGAGGCTGAACTTGCAGCCAAAAATGTGCATCCCAAGGATGCTGGGGAAAGGATGGGAGTGGCTCATCAGACTCATATGCACCAAACCGCCCATCCACCTTGTTTCATTCTCAGTCAACTCAGTAAAATGCGGGGCAGGGGGAATCCGGGCAGTGTTGGTCCAACTTTAAAGAGGTGAACACTGAGGCTTGGGTGGTCATGCTTGCTGAGAGCTACAGGGGATTGAGGGACAGTGTCAGGCTTCACACCCAGGTCCAGGTGGCTTTTGTCCAGAGAAGCACAGAGAACCACATTCCCCAGGCTCCCCCGCACAGCCCCAGCAAGCCCTGAGGTGTGGCCCCCAGCAGGGTGGGCTCACCTGAAGATGAAGATGAAGAGCATGAGCAGCATGCAGAAGGTGGCCACGTTGTCCATGGTCTTCATGAGCACCACGAGCTGGCGCCGCAGGGCAGGCATGAAACGCACCAGCTTCAGCACACGCAGCAGCCGGAAGGTCCGCAGCACTGACAGCCCACCGTCCGCCTGCCCCACGATCTCCCAGATGCTGCGGCCCAGCAGGGCAGGCCCGGGGAGCAGGAGAAGGGAGCAATAGAAGACCGCAGGAAGAGGAAGACAGAGGGAGAAGGGAAAACAGAAACACAGAGCTTCCATTCATCTGCCCATCCATCCATCCAGCAAATATGTTGGATGCTGCTCCATGCCATGGGTGTTGAGAGCAAATTCTGACGTGCATGATGTATCATATTGTTTGCTGTGAGCGGCAGCAAGGAAAACCTAGTCAGCCCCCCAAAGTGGAAAACTGCCCCCCAAAGCGGAAAACTGCTCAATGCATGATAAAGCAGTAACTAATATGAATATGTCTCACACCAGATGATTTAGTTGTTTGATCACAGGATACGTGACTCTTTCCTTTGTTCCTTCGTAAAGAGTGCTTCCTAGTTTATCTTTAACCTCTAGTAAACATACACTAGCTACCTTGTTAGTTCACTTTTAACCTATGAAAGAACAGAGCATCCGCTTGTAAAACTTATCACTGGAAAGTAAAGGATAAGTACGTGGGTCAGAGTCTGCTCTGGGCTCTCAGTTGGAAATGCTGTGAGACCCCCAATCGCCCACCTTTTACTTTCTATCTCTGTGTCTGTTTCTTAATTCATTCAGTGCTGCCTGGGTTGGGGTCTCCATGGCTGAGCTGGTCTCAGCAATGTGAGCTAATCAGGGGCTCTTCACCTGGAGTCTGTGAACCACCACCCCCACAAGAAGTCTCTGGCTAGAATCCAGGAGGTCCATGGTTATCACTGTCCTCTTTTTGAGATTTAACATGTCTTTTGGTTATAAATGTAAACAACAAGCCACAGAGAATTAGCAGTACCTATGGCTTTGTGGCAATCAAAGTAACTGAAGTCTTCACGTCACGTGATAGTGGATGCAGCTGTTTCTCAATATTATTTATGCCCATCCCTTCCTTGGAATGACGGTCATCACAGACCTGCTGCTAGATCATGCTATTTAACGCATAAATAGGTTGCTAAATCACAGACGTTTGACTATTTTGATCAGTTTCAGGATAATGGGTTTCCACTGCCATCTTATGTCCTTTATATGCTGGCTGGGGTCTCCCCGTTGAATCTCCCCCCGAGCCCCTGGGCTGCCGGGTCGGTTGGGGGAGGGGTACCTGATGATGACGATGATGCTGTCGAAAATGTTGTAGGGGTTGCGTAGGTAGTCGAAGAGCCCAAATGCAGCCAGCTTCAGGATCATCTCCAGTGCAAACATGCTGGTGAACACCACGTTGCAGATCTCCAGGATGTTGGTCAGCTCCTCCGGCTGTGGGGCATCGGGGTGGGAATGGAGACCCAGTCAGGTCAGAAGGCAGCTGTGGATCCCCTCTGTGTCCCACCCTGACTGTGTCACCCTGGCAGGCAGGTGTCCTCACCACAGCTCAGTCTCCCCACTGCCCCATGCACAATGCCCTGCGGCCTCTCAACTCTGCCACCTCAGGGTCCTGAGAGGTCTGCTGAGATAGTGAGGGTTGGGAGAACCCCACAGGGCTGACCTTCCACAGATTTGGAAATGGGCCTTGTAGTGCATCATGAGGGGAGTGTTCTGATACCCATTTTACAGATGAGGAAACTGAGGCTCGGAGGCCAGCCTGAGATCAAACGGCTAAGACACAGAGCAGGACAGGAACACAGGACAGGCGTCACTAGAAACTTCCCATTTGCTCAAGACCCTAACCCATTTAGCAAGCATGTAGCACGTGCCAGGAACTGTTCTATGCATTTTACAGACGTCACTTCACTTAGCCCTTCACAAGACCCCATCTGCAGCCAGGCAAGGAAGCAGGTTCACAGGAGGCCAGACCCTTGTCTGAGGCCACAGAGCTGACAAGTGGTGAAGCCAGGATTTGAACCCAGGCAGCCTGGCTCCAAGACTCCTGCCCTTAATCCCTGCCCATGCAGAACTTCTCTCTCCCCTTCCCAGCAATGGCCATCTCAGGACCAAAGGTGGCTGGGGACATCGTGCCCCATGAAAGGGGAATGGACACCACGCACCTGCTGCATGACACAGAGCACCGTGGTGGCTCTTAGCTAGCCCAGCAGCTCTCTGAAGAGCTCATTCAGACCCAGGGAGGTTAAGGCACCTGCCTGAAATCACCAGCTGGTTAGAGGGAGACTAGCTCCCTCCCCCAACAGCCACAGAGCCTCCCTCTGCTCTCAGAGCTGTTTACCCTGGTGTTTAGCTGATGCCCTGCAAATGGACTGTCCAAAGAACCCCGGTGTTTAAAGCAGGTCCCACTAGAGGCTACGACAGGGGGTAGTGGGGGAAGCTGGAGGGGTCCAGGCCTGGTTTGGACATTAAGTGGCTCTGTGGCTCTGGACAAGTCACTTCCCCCTCCTCTGGGATTTCGTTTCCTTATCCATAAAACCAGGGGGTTGAGTGAATGAACGAATTCATCAGAGCCTCTCCCCTTCGGCTCACAGAGCTCCAGCTCCATCTCTCCCCTCCACTGCTCCCTGGGACTGCTAAAGTGACGGTGTGTGCTCACCGTGGTGCCCGGCCATCCCTGCCTGAATCACAGAGAAGGACGGGCAGCACCATTGTTCAGACCTGATTTGACACCCAACACAAGTTAGCCTCTCTGTTTTACAGATGAGGAAACTAAGGCTGGGGAAACTGGGACGGAAATGACTTGTTCAGAGCCACCCAGCAAGGACGTAGCAGGATGTGGCAGGGCAAGGCAGGGCACTGAACCAAGCTGGACTCCAAACTGCTCTCCCATTACACCACACAGGGACCAAAGCCAAACTCATTCATTCATTCATTCATTCATTCATTCCCGCATGCCTGCCACAGATCTGAACCACATGATGTGTTGGGCTCGTGCTACCCAGGTGGGCAGTGGTGAAAGAGTCAGGGCACTGTCTCTGCCTTTGAGAAGCTCATGCTCTGGTAGCAAAACCCAGTAAACCAAGTTAACAAACCAAGCCGGTGTGTGCTGATGCCAGGAAAGCAGGGGGTGGCTAAGGGAACGCTGCTACTGGGATCAGGAGGCAGCAACATCTCAGCAGAGACCTAAAGGCTAAGAGAGAGCCAGCACCAGGGAGCAGAGAAAGGAGTGCAGTCGGAGGCCCCATCAGGATCACAGGCTGGGAGGTGGAAGAGCTGAGGACCCCCAGGGAGCCGCAAGGACCTGACTCTGACTTCAGGTGAATTAAAAGGAGAAAGAAAACAAATAAATAAATAAATAAATAACAACCCAGGCACCGGCCTCCAGCCTGGTGCCTGGGAAACCTGATAAAACTGCCAGCTCCTCTCAAGCCCAGGTGAAAGGAGAAGGTCCATTTCCATCTGTAATTACATTTGACTCAAGAAATGGTTCCAAAAGAGGAGTGGGACCCTGAGAGGGACCCTCGGTGGGGAAGGCTGAGGCCCAGCACCCCTGGCTGAGCCAGGACCCAGAACGCTGCTCAGAGCCAGCAATTTGCCAGCCCAGCCAGCGATGTCTGCGGAGATGAAACTGTAGGCGCTGACACTTCGCGCTGACGATCAGCTGGCTCCGGCCGCACGCCCCACACACGCATCCCCACCGGGGACGTGGGGGACCACTGCCATCCAAAAGGTCACTCCTCGCCTCCTCCTCCCTCACAGCAGATGTTTCTCCATTCAGTGCACCTGTTAATCTTTTTCTAATGGATCATCCATCACTCCTGCAAGCATTTCTCTGGGACAGAGACACACAGATGAATACAGACACAGCAAGTGGGAGCCCAAGGAGGGAGGAGACATGGAGAGGGAGGGGCAGAGATGGACAGAGACGGACAGACAGACGGATACAGGCAAGGGAGTGAAGGGCAAAGATGGGGCATGGAGAGACGGAGACACAGAGAGAGGAAGGCAGGGACACGGACATGAAGTAGGACCAGGACGATGAAGCAGTGACACCTGGGAGTCAGAGATACAGCCAGAAAGAGACACAGAAAGAGCAGACAGAGAGACAAGCAGACAGATAGACAGACAGATGGCAGAAAGGTCGCTGGAGGTGGTGAAGACCACCCAGTGAAGGCAGAGGTGCTAAGGGACTAAAAACCCCCAGTTTAGCCAGAGGAAGGAGGTGGTGGGCAGTGGTGGGTGCCTGCAAGCCCCTGCCTGATGTGGGCTCGGATGGCACCAGGCTGCCCAGCCTCTGCCATTTCTGCAGGTGTAGATAAGGGTGTGCAGAGGTCAGCTGGTCCCCAGAAGCCCTCCAGCCCAGCACCCTCCCCATCATCATAATGGCAGCTAGCGTTGATGAAGCCCCTCCCATGGGCCAGGTGTGCTGAGCACGCTCCTTGCATTATCTCCTCTCAGCCTCAAGCCCTATATTGTTCCCATTTTACAGAGAGAGAGCCTGAGACTCAAAGAGAACTGCCTGCCAGGTCATGGCCAGGCTGTGGTGAAGTCAGATCTCAAACCCAGGTCTCCCCACTCTGGCCACATCCCCACCTCCATGGCCCAGGTGCCTTCACCCACCCCACTTTTCTGATGAGGCTCTAGTTCAGCACAGATGTGTCCCTTATCTTCAAGCATCCCAGAGCTCCCCACTGCCCTAAGGATAAAACTGGCCCCAAGGTCCTCCTGAATGAACAGCCCTCCTGGCTTCCTGCACTGTCTGCCCTGCTCCCTGTATACATCCTTCTCGAGGACTCAGGGTCCTTTGGGGAGGATGCCTGTGCTCCTGGTCTCTGTACTTGTCCCTCTGTCTTACTGATAAACTCCTAGTTATCCTTCAGGATCCATCCCCAGTGTCACCACCTCCAGGGAGCCTTCCATGACTGCAGTCCATGTCGGTGTCTCTCTCCCTTGGGCCCCTATAGAGCTGGAATGTCAGCCACTAAGCCACCCTATCCTTTACTTTCCAGAGTCACCTCAGACCTGGTTGGCGGTGACTTGGCAGGACAGAGGCTACTGAAGGGAGAGTAAAGCCAGCTTTGATCCAGCCACTGATTCAGAGGTCCTGAATGCAGTCCCCTAGTAGCTGGGGCCAGAGTCTATGCCCAGGCCTGGGGTCAGCCCTACCCAAGAGTCTCCCTGCACCCTGCTCTGCTGCCCACACAGCCCAGCTCTCTGTTTTTTGTTCTCCAACTTGGTGGCTAGCCTCCAGCTCCAGGACACAATGAGGCTGCAGGGCAGCCCTGCCCAGCTCAGGAGGAGTCAGGGTCTGCCCCGGAGTGTGCAGGAGAGAGAGAAGCTGAGACAGGCGCTGCTCCTAGGAGCAATGCCTTCCTCCAGTTCAACTGTCCACACTGACCTCAACCGCTGGGAGCCTAGCTCTGTTGCTGCTCACCCTGGCGCATTGGACAAGCCATCTACCTCACTTAGCCTCAGTTTCCCCATCTGCCCAGTGGGGATAAGATGCTCCCCCAGCCTGGCCCACAAGGCTGCCAGAGGATCACACCAGGAGGAGCTGTGATGCTATGACAGCAGCAATGATGAAGGAGAAGCCTGGCCGCCACAGCTGACCTGTCCCACCTGCCTGCCACACAGCCGGGGCTACCCAGGGGGTGGGCATTTCAGCCCCATTTCCCCACTTCCTGAGTCACACACAGGCCTCTGCCTGGCCGACCCCCCACTTCACCCATCATCTCCTTGGAGGCCCGGCGCTGCAAGAAACAGTGTCCGCTGCCACGAGGAACCTGAATGAGCCAGCTGCTGTCTGGGCAATACCCCCATGATTTCAGCCGCAGTGCCCACCCTAAAGGATTGGGCACCTGCAATCTAACCTGTCATTCGAGCACTCCATGACCATGCCCTGGGGTCACCCTGCCCTACTTCCCAGTGTCACACCCTCCCCTCCTGCCTCTCAGTGACACAGAGCTCCCTGCCAGCCAGCATGGGGTATGGGGCAGGGGCCCCCATGCCACCTCCCCTGCAGGAGAAGGGTTCCGGGATTTCACTCGCCCTCTCCTCCCCTCCTCCTCTCTCTGCACCCCCCTTGGAAGCCCTGGGCCACCTCTTCTGCGAGCGCCACCTCAGACAGGGCTGCTCAAAATAAACATGGGGGCGGATCATTTCCCGCAGAGCAGTGTCTGGGAGCCGAGGGAATGGAGCAAAAATACCAGCGGGGCCCACAGTCAGGTCCCGCACACAGCCCAGGCGACCACGGCTGCCACTGGAGCTGCTTTATAAAGAACATTTCAGAGATTCTTCCTCCCCCACACTCTTACTTTAATTAATTTTTTGAGGCTCCAGACAGAGGATGGAAAACGCACCCAGGGAGGGTGGCATGAGGCTCAAACAAGACCCCGAAGCAGTGATCATCAGTGAGCACCTACTAAGAGCCAGGTTCGCAATGCAGTCAACCCTCTTAGCCACTGTGTTGGGGCAGGGGTGCCAGGTGAGTAAGCCAAGGGCTGCACTCCCGGCCACCCTGCCAGTCAACAGCAGAACCAGGATTGGTTTGTTTGGCTGGTTTGGAATGTTTTGTTTGTTTTGACACAGGGTCTCACTCTGTTGCCCAGGCTGGAATGCAGTGGCACAATCACCCATCACTGCAGCCTCAAATTCCTGGGTCCAAGCAAACCTCCCACCTCAGCCTCCTGAGTAGCTGAGATTACAGACATGCACCACCACACCTAGCTAATTTTTTTTTTTATTTTCTGCAGAGACGGGGCCCCATTCTGTTGCCCAGGCTGGTCTTGAACTCCTGGGCTCAAGTGAACCTCTTGCCATGGCCTTCCAAAGTGCTGGTTTTACAGGCAGGAGTCACCAAACCCAACCAGAACCAGGATTGAAACCCAAACATTGTGTGATCTATTTGCCTCTCTGAGCAGTGGCTTCCAAGGGCACGAGACAAGTGAGGTGATAACACCTGCCTTGAGGGTGGCTGGACCCACCAGCCACCATGCCGGCTCAGGGCAGGACCTGTTAGTAGGTGCTCAGTAAATGGTGCCTGTCCTATAAGGGAAAGGCACCTGCTTAGTAGATGAGGAAATCAGGTGGGCCCTGTGACCAGGCAGGAGACACACAGTGGGAACAGCCTGTCATCTCTCAGCCTGATGAGGGAGCCACGTGAAGCCTGCTACTCTCAGAAGATGCTCCACCTGGCTGGGCACAGTGGCTCACGCCTGTAATCCCAGCACTGTGGGAGACCAAGGCAGGCAGATCACCTGAGGTCAGGAGTTCAAGAGCAGTCTGGCCAACGTAGTGAAATCCTATCTCTACTAAAAATAGAAAAATCAGCCAGACATGGTGGCTCACACCTGTAACCCCAGCTACTTGGGAGGCTGAGGCAGGAGAATTGTTTGAAACCGGGAGGCGGAGGTTGCAGTGAGCCAAGATCACGCCACTGCACCCCAGCCTGGATGACAGAGTGAAACTCTTGTCTCAAAAGAAAAAAAAAAAGAAAAAAGAAAAGAAAAGAAAAAAGAAAGAAGAGGCTCCACCAGATTCGCAGTTGGAAAGCTTGCTCGGATGGATGTGGCAGGAGGGAGGGAGGATAGGTCAGAGCAGACTCTAAGGAGGCTTGGGCAGGGACCATGGCCTGGTCTGAGGCTGGACCTGCCCTGGCCGTAGTGTCTCCATGGATGTGGCAGGTGAAAAGGCAGGGACCAGCCTGGCAAAGAGGCCTCTGAAAACAGCCCTAATGAGTAGCATCTGCCAATTTCCATGGTGTAAATACTCCCTCCATGGCCAATTTCAAGCTCCCAACTCTTTCATCCTTGGCTTGCAAAAGTCCTGAGTGTTTGGAAATTGGCTCTCACCAGCCGGCTCCAGCAAGCCCCTGGCAAGGACAGTGCCGAGGCTCAAGTGTGGCAGGCTGTGCAGGCCCCCTCGATGCTGCCCCACTTGGATGGAGACTGGAGCCACCCCCATAGCACTAATGCCCTGTGGGGCTTTCTGCAGGAATGCTGCTCCTCTCCAGGCCTGGGTCAGGTGCTGACCAGAGGCTGGACACTAAGCAAGGGGGTTCTGGGAACCCTGTCTCACCAGCTTTCCTCCTGCAGAGAGCCCTCCTGCCAGCCCTCTCCAGAGACCTTTTTAATTAAGCCGGAATGGCTGGCAAACCAGTAGCTCTGAACAGAGTGTCACGGCGTCCCCAGGGGCCCCATTTAGGTAAATTGAATGGAGCCTGTGCTTGGTGAACTAACAAAGAAGGAGGTGCGAGTGCACCCCGTGGGGTGTGAGTGCGGCAGGCAGGGCCTCCACAGGAGGAAGGCCATAGGGAAGCAAAGAAAATGTCGAAATCCAAGCCCTCCCGGGGTGTCAGTCTTGCTGCAGAAAGAAATGGGTTCAAACCTGGCCCCCAGCTGGTGGTGGGACCTCAGGCCAGTGACGTCCCCCCACTGGGCCTCAGGGTTAGGTGGGGCCAGCTGCTACGTGGGAGCCCTTGCAGAGCTGGGGAGTGGGTTCAGGGAGCCACCTCATTCAGGGGCTGGTGGACAGCAAGAGCCAGAAAATGGTGGTTTTTGGCAAGACTAGACCTACCATCCAGGCTGCATCCCTGGCTGGGGCCTGAGGGCTGAGGCATCTGTGCTAACCCCTCGGCCCGTCCCTCCTGTGTCGCCACAGAGGCCCTGCTCTCCTCACACACGTCCTCCCAAAGCTGTCCCCTCCCCGTCAGCCCTCTGGGGCTGTATGGGGTGGAGTCACTGGATGGGACAGGACACGCTGGCCTGGTGAAGGGCCGTTGTGGCCGAGACAAAGGGCCTTGAGGGTGGTGGAAAGGTCTGGATTTTGCCCCGAGGGCAATGAAGAACAATAGAAGTTTTGAAGCAGGGAAGAGCCCACCCAGACTGGCCCTCTGGAAAAATCATCCCAGCTGCTTGGGGGAGAAGGGACAGAAGGGCCCCAGTGGCCAGGCTTGGTGGCACATTCCTACAGTCCCAGCTACTTGGGAGGCATAAAAGGAAGGATCACTTGATCTCGCCACTGCACTCCAGCCTGGGCGGCAGAGCAAGACCCTGTCTCTTTAAAAACAAAACAAAACAAAACAAAAAACACGTTAGTTTGTTTGTGTGTTTTTTAAAAGAAGGGCTCAGGTGGAGAGGTGAGGAGTAGAAGTCAGATTTGCAGGAACTGGCAGTGGACGCGCTGTGGCTGCCTTGGTGTCCAGGCTGAGCAGCTTAGGAAGGAAAGAGCCCCCAAGAGCCCAGTCCTAGCCAGCTTCGCTCGGTCACTCATCATTCGTTCAGCAGACACCCGAGCCCTTCCCTCCTCTGAGCTTGGCCCTGGCTGGGTGCTAAGGTCTCGTGGATGAACTGGACCCAGCTCAGGCCGGCACTTCTCGGAAAACACACAAACCCAGGCAGGGCCTGGGCAGGGTCCTGGGGCCCCCGCGCCTCCCCTGCAGGCCCTCCCGGCCTTGCTGCACTGGCCTGCTCGTGGTGCTCGATGCCCATGCTGACGGTGTTGACCAGGATGGCCATCATGATGCCACGGTTGAAGTACTTGCTGTCCACGATGCCGCGAAGCTTGGCTCGCGTCTCCCGCCACACATCCCCACACAGCCGGACCGCCCCATCCGCCTGCTCCTCTTCCTCCTCCTCCTCCTCCTCCTTCCCCAGTTCCGAGGAGGCTCCATCCTCGATGCCCCGGGCCCCGTCCCCATCCGCCTCGTCCTCGCCGCCAGCGGATCCTCCAGAGCCTGAGCCCTCCTGGCCCGAGTCAGTGCTACCCAGGCCCGAGGGCCGCCGGCTGGACTCATGCTGGCAGCAAGGGCAGCTGGCAGGGTCAGAGGTCAGCGTGGCGGGGATGGGCTGCACCAGGGTGTGGGGCGTTGCGTCCAGGGGGTTATGTCGTGGGCACAGTTCTGAAAAGCAAACCAGAGGGAGCGTGGGTAGAGTCAGCACCTACATCAGGCCCAATCCAGCCTGGGACACATCCCTCCTGAGTGCATGTGGCTCCCAGACCCACAGGTCTGCCTGGAACCAGCCGGCCCAGCCTGGAGGGGTGCGGGGGGGGGTCCCTGGGGAAGTGGTTGCAGCTCTCTGGGCTTTGTCTGCCCCTGTGTAGAAGTGGGGACAGAAGCACCCACTGTGCAGGCTGTGGGAGGATTCTCCCCATTAAGGCACGTGATGGGCCCAGCACAGTGTAGGCAAGCAACTATGCTGACTGGCCATCCCTCCCGACCCGGGCCCTAGGTCAGCATGGAACAGACCCAGAGCCCAGTCATGTGGCCTGGGAACTAGATTCTGAAAGAGCCAGGCCAATGTGGGGGCGGCCCGCCTTAGAGTTGGTCATGGTGCCTGTATAGCAGGTGGGGAGGTGGAGTGGGGGAGGGGATGAGGTGTGTTCCCCATGGAGGGGAGGAGGCATGAAGCCCTGGGTGGGGGGCAGAGCCTTACTCCAGAAGCCTCTGGGACTTCCCTCCACACAAGGGGTGGAGGTGGCGGCAGAGGGCAGGAAGGGCCGCTGGAAAGAGGGGACTTCATCTGTTTGCTGCCCGGGAATCACAGGAGAAGCCAGGGCTGGCCCTGGACTGGGTTCTGTGATCAGTGAACCATCTCAAAGAGGTGTCAGAGAGGCCTCTCTCTGTGGGGTTTAATTTCTTCTTCGTGTTTTCCTATGTATTCCTAGAATAAACACATTTGCTTGTGTAAGCCAAAAAAGTAACATGAAAGGGAAAGAAAAGCATGTCATGCCTGCCCTTCATTTCCACACTTGCCTCCAGAGGCCTCCTGAGCCCTGGATAGGCACCCCTGGCGTACTCACGCCTCTGGAGTCGGGGCGGGCAGCCAGGAACCCAGGGCTCGGTCCCATCTCACCACGGGAGGACAGGCCAAAGCCCTTCCTAGCGCTGGCCCACTGCTCCCACCTGGACGGGGGGCTACAGCCAACTCTTTTTTCCATGGCAGAGGGGAGGCCCAGGGGCAAGGGTGCCAGGAGAAGGGGCTGGGCAGCCACAGGAAACCCCTTGGATTGAACACTTATCCCCCACGTCCTCCAGCAACACCAGTGCCAGCCTTGCCCAGCCCCAGCTCCTGCGTCCACGTGCCAGGCCTGCCCACGGGCCACCTGGGGCCTCCTCCAAGCCCATGCCTGGATGGCTGGCACCCGAGGATGGGTGGGCGGCAGCTCGGAGCATGCTTTCTTCTGCTTGCCTCCCAAGAATCAATTCCCAGACCATGAGAACTAGAAGGACAGGGCTTTCCAAAGCAGGGCCTGGGGTGGCTGACTCCTGCCACCGACGGCCATGTGCTGGGGACCCCTTGTCCTCACTTTACAGGCAGGGGACAGGCCTGCAGAGGGCCGCAGCTGCTCAAGCACAGTCCCCATGCCTGCTGACTTCCTTCTCGGCACCAACTGGGAGAGTGGCGCTGGCACTGGGGCAGGATCCACCTCCTGTGGCCCTGGCTTGCCTCCTCCCGAGAGAGTGATCATTTCCGGGGAGGCAGGCGCCCGCAAAGCCTGGCAACGCTGACTTCCGAGATGCCCCCCTTCCTCTCCCTGACCATTAGTCTTCCCATCTGAAAAGTGGGGATAATATTACTATCTGTTCCCTTTTCAGGACTGTGTCCTGGAGCAGACAAGGTAACTAGCAGGACAGCCCCTTCCAAGCCTAAAAGCATAACCTCAGCCAGGGGCGGTGGCTGACGCCTGTAATCCCAGCACTTTGGGAGGCCAAGGCAGGAGGATCATGTGAGCCCAGGAGCTTGAGACCAGCCTGGGCAACATAGGGAGACCCACCTCTAAAAAAGTTTTTTTTTTTTAATTAGCCAGGTATGGTGGTGCATGCCTGTAGCCCCAGCTCTTCCAGAGGCTGAGGTGGGACAGTGACTTAAGCGAGGAGTTGGAGGTTGCAGTAAGCTGTATTTGCACTACTGTATTTCCTGGGTGACCCTGTCTCAACAACAACGACAGCGGGCAAGGTGGCTCATCCCTGTAATCCCAGCACTTTGGGAGGCCAACGTGCATGGATCACAAGGTCAGAAATTCAGGACCAGCCTGGCCATGATGAAACCCTGACTCTACAAAAAATACAAAAATTAGCCAGGTACAATGGCAGGTGCCTGTAACCCCAGCTACTTGGGAGGCCGAGGCAGGAGAATCGCTTGAATCCCAGGAAGTGGAGGCTGCAGTGAGCCGAGATAGTGCCACTGCATTCCAGCCTGGGCAACAGAGTGCGACTCCATCTAAAAAAAAACAAAAAAACAAAAAGCATAACTCTCACAGCCCCACGGCAAGCACAGAGCACAGGGTGGCATGAGTCCCCTACATGCCACAGCTTTGAGGGGCAGGCCACAGCCCCTTTGGGCCAGGTGCATTGCATCATTGCTCAGGTGTGCTGGAAAGCAGGGGAACACAGTGGGAACCCCGAGAAGGGAGAGATGTGGCCTGTGGGCTGCCGTGGTGGAAGAAGTTTAGCTTTCCAAGACGAAGGACAGACACGTGTTCATTTCTTTCAAGCATGGATTCCAGGGGCAGAGCTGCTATCTCTACACACACAGGGATCGAGTTCCTCCAGCCCCAGGCCCGGCCTGGTGCAGGCTCTGCAGGTGCCAGGAGAGGGCAGGCAGAGGGGACGGAGCTCCCCCGGGGGCTGTGAAGGAAACACTTGAGCGTGAAGCGAAGACCTAAACTCGGAGGCTGCTGGGCCTGCTGGACGAGCTGGGAGGGAGCGACACTTTGCACACAGTGCCCGTCTGGGTGCCACGTCGGATGCAGGGCCACTTACTATAGTGCCGGGGCTCCTTGGCGTGGGGCCCGGGTTTGGCCGGGGCGGGGGCCTCTGGGCTCAGGGCCTGGCGCCGGCTCTGCAAGGCCTGGTAGAGGCCCAGGGCACGGCGCTTGGCCTTGCGCAGAATGTGGCAGACGTATTGGAAGATCTCCTCGTAGCAGTCGCCGGGCTCAGCATAGCTGGCCACCGTGCTGGAGGACAGGTAGCGCTGTCGCTGCTCCAGCATCAGCCGGTGCTCCCGCTGCTTGGTCTCCGAGAACTGGGTCGCTATGACAACGAGGCACAGGTTGATCATGAAGAAGGAGCCCACCTGTGACCAACGGGAGGAGAGGACAGGGACAGGGACAGGGATGGAGGGGACAGAAGGGTGGGAGAGGCAGAGTCATGGGGTGTGGACAGCAGGGAGACACGGGGAGAGGGAGGCAGAGGGAGATGGGGAGATGGAGACAGAGGTGGAGATGGGAGTACAGAGGCAGAAATGAAGTGAGGAGAAGGGGCAGGGACCAACCAGACACAGAGGCCAGAGCAGGGACAGATAGCAAGAGATGGCGAGGTACAGAGACGTGATGACAAAGAGACATGCAAGGGAGTGAGGCGGGCTCCAAGAGGACAGACACGAGGGAGTAGAGATACAGCGGGCGGGTGGAGACAGGGAAAGAGAAGGGCAGGGGAGGTGGAGGGGCCCAGAGAGACACAGGCACAGAAACAGATGGGGACAGGAAAAGATCGCTGAGGCCTGGCTCCAGGAGAAGCAACGGCCCAGGCAGCTCCCCAGGCCCGACTGGGATCTGCTTCAAAGCCCAGCTCCCCTCAGACCCCCTGGGCCCTGGCCTGGCCCCCACCCGCCTGGGACATCTGCACTGAGCCCAGGGAGGGAAGCCGCTGCCTGACTCCGGCTTCCCAGGCTGAGTCCTCATCCAGCCCTGCCTTTTCTCTGGCCGGAATCTGGCCTCCGCTGGGACCCCAGACGAGAAAAGAGAAGCTCTCTCGGGGTTTTCGCACAGCTTTATTTGTGCTTGCGTGGGATGGGGGAGAGAGGCTACCCCGGGTGGCACTGGGGATCCCACATCCTTGTGGCCTGATGGCTCCAGGAGCGGGGATCCCCTCCAGCTTCCAGCTGTCCAGGGCACAGCCCCCTCTCCGGCATTCGCTGAACCTGGAAGTGAACTCGGCTGCCCGTCATCCAGAGGAGATAGCTTTCATGCCCCTCAGAGGTGCCCACCAGGAAGCTCTGACCAGCTGCAGCCTCATCAATGATGATTGAGAAGCTAGGGTCTTAAAGCAGGGGCTGGAGGGGGTTGCTGGCCCAGAGAACTCTGGGAAAATCCCCTGCCTCTCAGGTAAGAAGATGGCCTCCCATCCTTATCTCGGTCACCTCGTCCACAAGCATTTCCCAGGGAGCTGCCCTGCACCAGGCCTGTGTGAGGGTCACAGGAAGAAAGGGCATGGCCCTGCCTTCTGGGACCACACACTTGTCAGGCTCCTACCCAGCCCTGCCTCTGCAGCTGCTGCCCTGGGCAACCCAGGCAGGACCCCATCCCTTCCAGGCCTCCACTTCTCCGTCTGTAAAATAGGAGGCTCAGACCAGATGAGCAAAGAACTTTTCTAGTCAGAAGGTAGCCAGCCAAGGTAATCCAAAGTAATCCCAGCACTTTGGGAGGCTGAGGTGAGCAGATCACTTGAGGTCAGGAGTTCAAGACCAGCCTGGCCAACATGGTGAGACCCTGTCTCTACTAAAAATACAAAAATTGGCCAGGTGTGGCGGTACATGCCTGTAATTCCAGCTACTCGGGAAACTGATGTAGGAGAATCACTCGAACCCAGAAGGCAGACGTTGCAGCAGTAATTTGGCCATGGCACTCCAGCCTGGGCGACAAGACTATGTCTCAAAAAAAAAAAAAAGAAGAAGAAGAAAAAAAAGGAACACTAGGGTCCATGGGCCATGATTACACCTGTAATCCCAGTGCTTTGGGAAGCCAAGGCAGGAAGATCACTTGAGTCCAAGAGTTTGAGACCAGCCTGGGAAACATAGCGAAACCCTGTCTCCAAAAAATTTTTTAAATTAGCCAGTCATGGTGGTGCGTGTCTGTAGTCCCAGCTACTTGGGAGGCTGAGCAGGGAGGGTCGCTTGAGCCCAGGAGATCAAGGCTGCAGTGAGCTATGATCACACCACTGCACTCCAGCCTGGATTACAGAGCCAGACCTTGTCTCTTAAAAAAAAAAAAAAAAAAAAAAAAGAAGAAGAAGAAGAAGAAATTAAAGAAGGAGCGCTACAGGCCTAGTCTTGAAGGCCAAGGACCTCTCACCTCACCCCTCCAGACCAGTCCACATGGTTTGGACCTGCAATTGTCCAGACTGCTCTCTGGACCCTTTCCAGCACCTGGAAAAACTCAGCCCTTTCAACCTCTCACCTGCACTCTTTGTCCTGTGACAGGGCCACCTGAGACCCAACAGTAGCAGGGCACAGGTACTGAGTGCTCACTGTGTGCCAAGGGTGTGCAGGCTTCAAGCTCTGTCTCACTTAAGCCTCCTGAGAGCCCAGAAGCTAGGTACTGTCACTGTCCCCATTTCCCAATAAGCTTGGGGAGCACTGTGCTTCACCACATCCGTACCTTTAGCCACCCTTAACCCCACAGCAGGAGCAGATGGAATATCCTCCAGCCCCTCCTGGGAACCAGAGGCTCCTCTTGCAACCCCAGTGGCTTGTGGCTCCCACACTGCAGGATCTTGACCAGCTTCAGGGGCTCTGCTCCGTGAGCTACCCCTGCCCAAGAGGCTCTTTCCCTGCTGACTTCCCTGAATCTTCAAGGCTCAATTCTGGCATCACCTCCTCCAGGAAGCCTCCCATCTCCCCATGTCTTCTCCAAGCTGGATCAGGAGCCTCCTCTGGGCTTCCTTCTATCTTGGTGGCTAAGATGCTGTACCGTCACTGACTGCTGTCAACCCATCTTCCCCACAAGACCGTGAGCTCCTCGAGGGCAGGGGCTGGGCCTGACTCCCTGTTCTGTTCCTAGCACTCGGCTCAGGGCCTGGTACAGTGTGGGTTTCCTGAATGTTTTGGTGAATGAATACACAAGGCCATGGATGGCAATGCTGAATAAAACCTGGGCCCTCTCCTTTTATCTGGGGCATCTCCTATAGGTCGAAGGCCCCAGCTCCCCCAAGAAAGCACTGGCACTTAGACAGTCTCAGGTCACCTGCTGGCCTGTCCTGGCCCCTCAGGTCAAGGTCCTGCCAGCCCAGGATGGGGCAGTGCCCTGGAGCGCCAAGTGTGCCCTCTCCCACCACCAGGAAGCCAGAGAACCCGCCTCGCAGCAGCAGGGATTCAGCCGAGACTCTCCCAGGAGTTAATCACCTTGACATTTTGGGGACTGTGCTGTGCTGAAGCTGCAGTCAGGCATGACGAGGTGGATGAGCTCACTCTGGGGAGACTGTACCGGGGGTGCGGGCAAGAGGGACTAGCCAGGAAGAGGCGGGTGAGCCCGCCTCCATCTCCAGGTTACCCCAATGAGGCAGGGCTGCCCAAGAGGTGGGAGTCCCTCCAAGAATTTCAGGAAGCTCCACTGGGTCACTATCAGGCAACCTCCCTCCAAACCCTGCTCAGCCTCGGGGCATCTCATCTTCCCCTCCCAGGAAAACAGGGAGGAGTTGGAGCCCTTGCAAAGCTTCCAGTATAAGGCTGCACCTCAGGCTCAAGTCATGCAAAGAATGTATCCCAGAGATACGAGGCAGAGAAGCAGGAGCAGAGCATCAGTGGGGACTTAAATGCCCAGATGTGAGAAATGACGGCAATCAAAGGTGATGGATGCTTCCGACAGCCACCCCTGATGAGCCCTTTCAATCACCTGCTGCCCGGCAGTGGTGAGAAACAGCCCCTCCTGCTGCCTCTTCCAGGCTTTCCTGGCTCCGAGGGGCTCCCTAGGGACTCCCAAAGACCCTCCCTCCTCGGGTCTCCTGGTCCATGGGTTCTGAGTGCACCTGGGAGCCCAAGCTCCCTGACACTTACTATGATAAGCAGGATGAAGTAAATGAAGTTGTAGAAGGAGTGAGCATCCATCACATAGTACATGATCTCCACCCAGCCTTCCAGAGTGATCACCTGCAACAGCACAGAGAGAGCCGAGAGGGCTGACCCGTGGGAAAGCCCATAGCCCAGGCAGCGCCCCAAACAGGGGCCCCACAGTGTGCCAGAACACATCACACATGCTGCCTTGAGTACCTCTCACAGGGGATGGACAGGGCATACCACATAATACAGGTGAGGAAACCGAGGCTCAGCGAGAAGAAGGTACTTGCCCACTGTCACACAGCCAGGAAGGGGTGGAGCTGGGACTTGAACCCTGGTCCCTCCAGTCTACCACACCAGCGGGAGGGCTGGGAAAGCAGGGAGCCTGTCCCTGCTCCAGCTTATCAGCTGGGCCACCCACACTCTCTGAGCCTCAGCCACTTCTTCTGTATGTGGGGAGCCCACCTGGCAGGGCTGGGATGCAGCTCAGTGGGAGCCTGGGAGGGTGCACGTAATGAGGCTGGTGTGACTCTGTCACCCCCCCCCCACCCCACCCTGACTCCTTCCCAGACTGGGAGATAGAGCAGCCTTGGGAAAGACAAACCCTGGGTCCTTGCTGGCTTCTGGCAAATGCACAGAGTGGGGCCCCCTGAGCAGCCATCCATCCTCCTGGGCAGAAGGTTCCAAACACAGCTGTTGCCATCACCTCACACCCTGCAGCTCTGAACTCATGATCCTGACGCTCCCCAGGGCAGCACCAGGCAGCTCAGGGAAGTGGAGACAGCGGAGTTCAGCCCTGTCAGCACTTTGGCCACCCCTTCAAAGGCTTCTCAGCTCCCCCTCTGTTTGCTCCTGCCCCTTCTTTCTGAGGACAGCAGGAAGGTAACCACTACCCAGCACTCTCTGCACACAGGGCTGGCTGCCCTGCGCATGTCATCTGCTTTATTTTTATCAGCCACCCAAGGTGAGGGGGGCTGTTATTACCCCATTTTAAAGATGAGAAAACTGAGGCACAGAGAGGCCAAGCAATACACTCAAGGTCCACTGCCTGAGTTCCTTCCCTGTGCATACCCAGAGTGTCCTCTGCAGAGTGTAGGCTGTCAGTCAGTGCAGAGAGGACATGCAACAAGCGCTTCACACACTGCGTGGCTAGTGCTGCTTTGTGAATGTGTGTGCATTACGTGCACAGGTTGACAAGGCGAGACACATTTCTCACTGACTCCAGATGAGCTACTTGGCATTCCCTGCAGGAGGATTTTGCTCAGGCTGTCCCCACCAGGAATGTCCTCCTACCCCACGCTCCTGGCCTTGGTCAGCCAGCCTCCAACTGAGCTTGAATCCTGCCTCTCCTCTCTGAACAGCCCTCCCTGCTGGGATCCATCTGGCCCCAAGGCAACCTGGGGCTCTGCAAAGAGCTCAGGTTTTGGGGTCACCCAGAGCTGGGGTGGTGGCTCGCGCCTATAATCCCAGCACTTTGGGAGGCCAAGACAGGTGAATCACCTGAGGTCAGGAGTTCAAGACCAGCCTGACCAACATAGAGAAACCCCATCTCTACTAAAAATACAAAATTAGTGGGGCATGGTGGCACATGCCTGTAATCCCAGCTATTCTGGAGGCTGGGGCAGGAGAATCGCTTGAACCAGGGAGAGGGGGGTTGCAGTGAGCTGAGAGCATGTCATTGCACTTCAGCCTAGGCAACAAGAACGACTCCATCTCAAAAAAATTAAAAAAACCTATATAGATCCTATATTTGCCTATTTGCCACTTAATAGTCACACCATATCATCTGTGGTCAATTAGCTTGCTCTGTTTTTTTTTGTTTTGGTTTTTTGTTTTTGTTTTTGTTTTTGTTTTTTTCTCCGTTTTTAAAAATTTTTTTAAGTCAGAGTCTCACTCTGTCTCCCAGGCTGGAGTGCAGTGGCACAATCTCAGCTCACTGCAACCTCCGCCTCCTGAGTTCAAGCAATTCTCCTGCCTCAGCCCCCAAGTAGCTGTGATTACAGGCACCTGCCACCACGTCTGGCTAATTTTTATATTTTCAGTTGAGACGGTGTTTCACCATACTGGCTGGGCTGGTCTCTGGCCAGGATGGTCTCGAACACCGGAGCTCATGATCTGCCCGCCTCGGCCTCCCAAAGTGCTGGGATTACAGGCGTGAGCCACTGCACCCAGCCTAGCTTGCTTCCTTTCTTTGAATCTGTCTATAAAACGGGCATGATAATGCCTATACTGCCAGCAAGCTAGACAGGTTTCAGTGAGATGAGGGGTAGCAAATGCCAAGCACAGAGACCTGCCCACCAGGCAGAGCTGCCCTCTCAATCCCCAGGACCAGGCCGGTCCCAGGCTTGAGCCGCCTCACCTGGAAGATAACAATCCAAGCGTAGCCAATGTTGTCAAAGTTGATGGCGCCCTTGTGGGGGTTGGCGCTGCCTGTTCGGCACACGTTGTAGTAGCGGTTCCAGTTGACACAGAGGCCACTGGTGTTGAGGTCCTGGCGCCCCGCCCCGAAGTCGTAGACGTCGTCCTTGGACAGGCAGCATTCACGGCCCTGCTCCTTGAGCGGGGGGATCTCATGGCAGCCCATGATGCCGTTGTCCCCAGACAGGGAGCAGATGAAGGGCATCTCATCGTCCTCCTCCGGCTGGTAGTACGGGGGCAAGGCCACATCCCCTTGTCTGTCCACAGGCCAGGGTGAGTAAAAGAGGAAAAGGGGAGGGGTCACTGCCATGAAGATCAGAAAGGGAGAGGCCATGCAGCGTGGCAGGAGGGCCCCAAAGGCCTTGTCACTCTTGTCGCTGCCTCCAGGCCTTGGCACATGCTGTTCCTCTGCCTCTGTCACCCTTCCCTACCTCTGTTACGACCATGAAAACCCCACTGGCCCATTGTGGTCCTCTCCTCTGGGGAGTCTCACTGTGCCTTGCACACACCTTCATTATGGCTCCTGGGGGAGATGCCCTCAACTCCCCCAAGAGGCCAGCCATCTCAGGTTCCACACACTGGTGGGTAGGCACAGACAGAGCAGGTGCTCAATTAAAAAGCACTGGCCTTTACAGATTTAGCAGATGAGGGGTGGATCCTCCACCTGCTCCACCCTCTTCCATCTATGTGACCTGGGCTGCTCATTTCGTTCCTTTCTCTCTTTTTTCTTTCTTTTTCTCTCTTTCTTTCTTCTTTCCTTTCTTTTCTTTCTGCTTCCTTCCTTCCTTTTTTTGAGACAGAGTTTCACTCTGTCACCCAGGCTGGAGTGCAGTGGCATGATCTTGGCTCACTGTAAACTCCACCTCCCAGGTTCAAGCAATTCTTCTGTCTCAGCCTCCTGAGTAGCTGCGACTACAGGTGCACAGCACCACACTCAGCTAATTTTGTATTTTTAGTAGAGACGGGGTTTCACCATATTGGTCAGGCTGTTCTTGAACTCCTGACCTCAGGTGATCCACCCACCTCTGCCTCCCAAAGTGCTGAAATTACAGGCCTCGTGAGCCACCATGCCTGGCTGCCCCTCTGGACTTTGATTTCCTCATCTACAAAATAAACAACAATCCCTGCTCTGCCCATTCAGAAGGGTTAATCTATGCTTCGTTGCAATCCTAACCAAAATCCCAACGCTTTGGCCTGTGGAGCCTGCCCAGATGGTCCTAGGATTTATTTGGATGGGAAAATAGTCAAGACAAGTTTTGAAAAGGAGAGAGATAAACAGGAACCAGATCTGCAAGAGAGCAAAATACTCTACAACTATGATTATTAATACAGTGTAGCACTGTGACAGGAACAGAAAGGTTAGTGGAATGCCACAGAGCACAAAGACAAACCCATGTACAAAGGGAAATTTAGTATATCACAGAGATGACTTTTCAGACCTGCAGAGAAAGGAAGGGCCCGTCAGTAAGTGGTGTGGGAATAACTGCTATCTATTCGAAAAATAAGTTAGATCTTAACCCCACACCATACAAAAAATAAACTTCTTGAAGACCTGATATCCAAAAAAGACATATAAATTATCTCATTTTTAATGTTTATACTTATTTCACATTAAAAAATAGTATTTGGCTATATTAGATTAAGATATATTATAAAACTAAAAATAGCAAATTTCCAGTGGATTAAAAAGCAGAAATGCAATGACCATAACCACAAAAATATTATAAGAAAATATGGAATATTTTTTGTTAACTCAGGATAGGTATAACTTTCCTGGGTAAGATACAAAATTCAAATTTTGTAAAGGAAAAGTTCAACCAGATTAACTACATACTAATTTTACATACTAACGCAAAACTTAACTGAGACAAAATATGCCATACAAAGTAAAAAGACAAGCAACAAATTGGGATAAAGCAGAAGTAGACAAACTTTTTGTGTAATAGGCTGGATTAGCAAATATTTTTCTGCAGAGCACACAGCCTCTGTCCCAGTGACTCAGCTCTGCCATTTTAATCTGCAAACAGTTGTAGGAAAGAGGTAAACAAGTGCACATGGCTGTTTCAATAAAACTTTATTTACCAAAACAGGTCATAGTTTGCTGTTTCATGGGATGAAGTATTTGCAACACACAAAGAAGATAAAAAGTAACTATCTAAAGCAGGGGTCCCCAACTCCTGGGGCCACACAGCAAGAAGTGAGTGCTGGGAGAGGGAACATTACTGACTGAGTTCCACCCCCTGTCAGATCAGTGGTAGCATTAGATTTTCACAGGAGCACAAACCCTACTGTGAACCTCACACACAAGGGATCTAGATTGTGCATTCCTTTGAGAATCTAATGCCTGATGATCTGCGGTGAAACAGCTTCATTCCAAAACCATCCCCCCTCCTCTGGTCCATGGAAAAATTATCTTCCACAAAACTGGTCCCTGGTGCCAAAAAGGAATCTCCCATAACTCAGTAACAAAAAGGAAAAATAACCCAGTGGGGTGCGGGGAAAGACAAGAACAGAAAAATTCACAGAAGAAATAAAAAAAACGGCCAATATATAGGAAGAAACATTCATCAATGCAACGAAATAACCAAATGCAAACAAAAAATAATGAGATTATTTTACACCCATTCAAATGGCAAACATTTCAGGGTTGGTAATATTCAGCATGGGAAAGAATGAGTGTAAACAGACGCTCACATACACTGTCGTGGGAGTATACACTGGTACAACCTTCTTAGAGGGCAATTTGGCACATCCATCAATAAAAATGTACACATCCAACCCAAATACATATGGTCACCTGAGTATCATAGAGGCACCACTGCAATTGAGTAGAGAGAGGGTGGACTTTCCCATCACTGGTCCTGGGACAAGTGCCTCATGCCTGTAATCTCAGTACTTTGGGAGGCCAAGGTGGATGGATCACCTGAGGTCAGGAGTTCGAGACCAGCTTGACCAACATGTGAAACCCCATTTCTACTACAATACCAAAATTAGCCAGACGTGGTGGCATGCACTTGTAATCCCAGCTATTCAGGAGGCTGAGGCACGAGAATCGCTTGAACCTGAGAGGTGGAGGTTGCAGTGAGCCGAGATTGTGCCACTGCATTCCACCCTAGATGACAGAGTGAGATTCTGTATAAAAAAAAAAATCTTGACTCTAACCACAAACCATATACAAAACTAGAGATGGACCACAGACCTACATGTGAAGAATTTTAAAAAAAGAAAGTTCCTAAAAGAAAGCACTGGAAAAATATTTTCACAACCTTGAGTTTGGAAAAGATTTCTTAAACAGAACACAAAAAACAATGCTAAAAAAAATGATTGATAAACTGGACTTCATTACAAGTAAGAGTTTCATTGATCAAAAGACACCATTAAGAAAGCAAAATGTAATTCCTTGTCATGTCTGTGAGTATTCCATTGAGTGAATGCACTGCCACTTATTTATTCATTCTGCTGATGGTTTGGGGTTGTTTCTGGTTTTTTGGCTCTTATGACTCATAAATATTCTTGTACATGTCTTTGGGTGTATATAAGCCATCCCTTTTTTGGGTAAATACCCAGGAGCACTGCCAAGTGACAGAGGCAGGATTTGACCCTGAAAGCCCAGCTGGGGTTCTGGTTCCTAACCCACATACCACACTGCTGTAGTGGGCCTGCCTCACTCAGGAATACCCTCCCCATGCCCTCCCATCCCCCTGCCTGCCTGGAGATATTTTTCTTGAACCTTTTAGTTTCAGCTCAAGGTCACATCCTCTGAAAAGAAAGAAGCCCCATTGGTCCCCACCCCGGCTGATCTTGTACCTCTTCTGGGCTTCCAGGCCCCACTCTGCCATAGCCCCGAGCACCCTGAGGCCTAATTATCAACACATCCAGTTCCCTAGTAAGAGACAGTGCAGAGGGCAGAGGCCAAGATAAAAAGGTCTCTGCATCCCCACGGCCCAGCATAGGTTCTAGCACCTGGAAGGGGTCAGTGACTGTGGAATGACAGTGTCATTCACACAAGCCAGGAAGAGGCTGGATGCTTGCTGGAAGCCTTGTTATTGATCCTGGGTGAGTCTCTTCCCATCTAGACTTCAGTCCCCATCTACAGGTTGGGCTGAGGCTCTCTATGGCTCCATCTCCAACCTTCATATGTTACACCCCAGGCAGGGCTCTTTTCCACCCTGACTACTGAGCTCTGCACATCTCACAGGGCCTCCTGTGCCAGGGGCTGGAGGCTTCCAGACAACATACTGAGATGAACAAGCCTCAGTCTCAGGCCTCTGGGACAAGGGAGTTGTAAAAAGACAGCTAGATTCTGTGTCAAGACACCTGGTCTAAATCTAGACCCTGCTGCTTCTTAGCTGTGTGACCTAGGACAAGCACTTTCAGTTCTTTGAGTCCCCAGTTGCCTTCTCTGTAAAATAGAAATAACAGTACCAACCTCACAGAGTTATCATGAAGACTGAAGATCACATTTGTGCAAGTGCACAGAAAAGCATTTGGTACACAAAAGGTGCTCCCTAAATGCTTGCTTGTTCATTCACAATCTAATATAAGTGTGGCAGGGCCCAGAGCCATTTCTATGGCTTTTTGGGTGGAGGGGCAGATACAAAGGAGAGAGTTTGCCTGAAAGAGGACTTTGAGAAACACTCCTGCCCAAGACCCTGCCTGGTTCCCCCAGATCCTAGCTAGGATCTCCTCAAATTCCAACTTTCTGGTCACCCAGAAGAGATCTTGCTGCCTCTTTGTGAACCCCAGTTACCAACTTCTCCACTCACTGCCCTAAACAAGCCTTGTGAGTTAAGGTCTAAACCTCCCTTATATCTACAGGGGTCACAGACCTGGGAGGACCCTAGTCTTGCTCTCCACCCAGATGTGAACTTTACTGATTTCCTTTTTCACACAACACTAACAACCGCCCAGCCCAATAGGGCATGTGAGTTAATACCACCCACCCTAAGCAAATGCAGCCAGGAGCTCAGAGGGGAGGTGTGGAGATCACTCAGCATCTTCCCTTAGGGTGTTCTTGCTCCAGTGACATTTCTTCATATTTATTTTTCCCTTCCTGGGGCAGATGTGGGGGTGTGCCAGATAAGGTTCCTCTTTAACACTCTGGCCCAAGGGCATCCACAGCATCCTCCCTCCAACTCCCCTATTCCAGCCAAGACAGGGTCAGAGCCATCTCACAAGGCCTGGAACAACCACAAAGAAAGAGACATCCAGGGACCTGGACACAGAATCTCCAACTCACCAGGCCTAGGAAGAACTGGTCCTGGCTCCCAGGCTGCCTCTGGGTGGTAAATGCACTCACCCATCCACTCACTCACTCATTCCTTCAACGATTAGTTGGAATCACCTGTGCCAAGCCCTGCTCTAGACCTTGGGAAGAGTCAAGCCTCAGGTGCCCCTGCTGTGGTAGGTAACTCACATTCCAGGGAACTCTAGAGACCTCGGATGAACCAACAGGCAATGATTTCAGAGAGATGAGTCAAGAAGAAAACCAAGCAGGGCTGTTCAATGGAAAGCTTGGGACTGGGGTGGTGAGGGAGGGCAAGGGAAGGCCTCCAGGAGGAGGCATCGGGTGGGCTGAGCCTGCATAATGAGAAGGGGCCAGCCACAGAAGGATTCAGGGAAGGAGCCCTGTGGGACAGAGGGGCGGGGCTCACACTACCCTGACTTCTAAGCAGCCACTTCTCCCCAGCCCCACGGGCCCATGCTCTGCCTCAGGACCTGCCCCTTTGTGGGGTGGGCACAAGTGCAGACCCACTTCCTGAACTCCCACTTGAGGCCCTCACCCACCAAGATGCCCCTGCTGTGGTCAACCCAGGTACCCTACTCTTCCCCACACCCCAACTTTCACCCTCCAGCTCTGCTACGCACTCCCCAAGTAGATAGGCTGAGAAGGAGAAACCAGCCTTCACCTGTACAGCATCCCCACATCCCCACGCCTCGTACAGTCACCTCAGCCCATGACTGACAGACTGAGCGGCAATCAAGGTGTTTGAGTTCGGCTCTCAGCCCTGCGCTCCTCTAGGCCAGGGACTCCCTCTTCTGCCACATCTTGAGCCCCGAGCACAGGCTCAAGGAAGTGGAGTGAGAAAAGGAATGAAAACGCTCTCCTATTTCTGATTCCCTGGGGCCTGGCACTTAGTTGAAGCGTGCCATGCATATCTGAAATGAATGCATATTCATGTCCAAACTCATATGCGTAAGTACATGTGTGTGCACACTTATCCCGCATCGCTAAGGAAGCACGGGTTCTATAGGTGTCAAATTTTTCAGACAACTAAGCCCAACTCCTCCAAGAGCCGGAGCTTAATTTGTGTGTCAATAATCCTCTCTTGGAGGAGCGTCCCGCCCCCTGCTTTCAGACTCAAGCGGCTGAATGGGAGCTCACCCTTCCTGGATGACTCAGTCACCAAGGGGAATGAATGTGCTGTGAGCACAGTGCCAAGTTCTGTGCCTGCTTTTCAGGTTTTCTGTCTTCTTTTTCCTCCTGAGCATTACTTCTGCTCATATCTTAACTTCCCTTTCCCTTTCAACCTGACCTCCCTTTTGTTGCTGCTTCTACCCCATTGGTCCTGATTCCCAATGACCCAGGAGGTTACAACTGTATCTTAATAACAGTCCCTGGAGCTGCATGGGTGGCAGGGGCTGAACTCACATGGTAAAGTTCTCCTCCAGGAAGCAGCGGTTACGCAGCAGGCCTGCCCAGAGCTGCACGCCTATGATGCCAAAGATGAAGAAGACAAAGAAGCAGAGCAGCAGGACATTCCCCAGCATGGGTAGCGTGTCCAGGAGCAGGTTCACCAGGATCCGCATACCTGGGAGGGGAAATGGTAGAGGGATGGTCACACAGGGAGCAGAGGTCTCAGAGAGGAAAGAGTGAGAGCAAGGTTAGAGAAACAGGGAGGGGGAGTGGGATGCATTGGCAGGGGCTCCTAGCTGCTCTCATCCTGTTCAGTGGCTGCCAGATACACCCCCTCCTTTGTATCTGCCCCTCCACCCAAAAAGCCATGGAAATGGCTCTGGGCCCTGCCACACTTACACTAGATTGTGAATGTACAAGCAAGCATTTAGGGAGCACCTTTTATGTACCAAGTGCTTTTCTGTGTACTTGCACAAATGTGATCTTCAGTCTTCATGACAACTCCATGAAGTTGGTACTTTTGTTTCTATTGTATAGAGAAGGCAACTGGAGACTCAAAGAACTGAAAGTGCTTGCCCTAGGTCACACAGCTAAGAAGCAGCAGGGTCTCTAGATTTAGACCAGGTGTCTTGACACAAAATCTAGCTGTCTTTTCACAATCTCCTTGTCCCAGAGGCATGGGACTGAGGCTGGTTCAACTCAGTGTGCCCAGAACCTGCATAGAGTGGTCATAGTACATGCCCAATAAATGTGTCCCGAATACCCTTTGTCTCTGGGGTAGTCACTGTTCCCCTTGACCATGTCAGGACACAGCAGTACCAGCTAGAACTACCACTCCCACTGCATGATGGAAGCAGGCAGAGCTCCCAGAACCACCTTCAGAAGAGCCAAGGGCCTGCTAACAGGCTGTACAGAGAAGGCCCACATAGGAATCCATGGCCCCAAAGAAGGCAAAGAGCTGGTGGGGCACCCTTGAGTGCACACCCTCCCTCTACAATCCCACAGGGTCCATACTGCCCACCTCTCCAGCTTCATGCCTCTCTCAATATGCACTCTATGCCTTGCAGTACCAAATTATTTGAAGTTCCCTAAACATACCACAGGATTTCACACCTCCATGCTTTTACCCTTGCTGTTCCCTCTTCCTGGAACACCCTTGCTTCTCTCCTATAACTGGCAAATCCCTATTCAGCCACCATAGCCCTGTGAAAGCTCTTTCATGAAGGCGTCCAGACTCTTACATCATCCCAGGTAGATTTCATCCTTCTTTCTTCTTCTCTGGGCAATCTCAGCACCTCTGACCTGGCCTAGGCTGCCATGTACAGTTGTGTAAGTTGTATACTGTATAACCTAGGAGATTCCAACCATATCAATATCTCTTCTTCTTCTAGTCCTAATGTATAGTTGTATGTTTACTTTCATATCTCTTCCACTAGGCTATAAGGTTCTAGGGGCAGGGCGCTTGTCTAAATCACCTCAGCATTCCCAGAACCCAGCAGGTCCTGGCCCAGAAAACCGGCTCACCTAACATTTGTTCAATGACTAATCATGAACGAATGTCATAAGTCATGGGGAGGGAGTGGAAGATTGGAGACAGGAAGATGGAATGATGGTCACAAGTAGAACAGTGGCCCTGTCCAGACGGTTGTGTATGCCAGGGGTGATGCTGAGGTGGTTATTAATGAGGATAATTCTTTGGAATTTGCATCACAAACTCTGCATGCAGTAATTTCCAATCAATAATTAATGCCCACCCTGTCTTCCCTTCTCACAAAACTAGGTCAGCCTCCTCTCAGGAAAGACAGTGGGGCTTGCCTGCAGGCTGCTTCATCCCCACGAGAGCAGGCCAGGGCGAGGACTCAATGTCCCACTCAGTGCTGTAAAAGAAATGGCACTCAAAGATTAATCCTCTCAGCAAGGCAGTTTAATTCTATAGAAGGGTTCAGCTCATGGATGGAGCAATGGCAGACGCATGCTTGGACAAGTTGGGGAAGGAGCACTTAATGCCTGATGGAGGTCGTCCCTACTAATGTGTTATTCCCCTATTGGCTAGGATTAGACCACACAAGCTAGACTAATTCTGATTGGCTATTTTAAAGAGAGCAGGGATCTGAGCTGCAGTGGCAGGATGGGTATTTTGAAGGGAAGGACAGTTACGGGTGGGTCAGAGCAGGTAGCTGGGGTGACCTAGGTCAAAGAAGGTGACCCGAGTAGGTGACTGGAGCAGGTGACCAGGATGAGTCAGGACGGAGCTGGGGGCTGAGGGAACAGATGGGAATTACTGATTAGAACTGGGGGGAGAAGGTTGTTTACTGGAATTACAAGGAAGTTAAACTTTAAAATAGAGAATTAAAGAATAAAAGAGCTGAGCATACTGACATACTGATTCTTTGAAGAGAAACTTGGGGTTCACGATACCACCACCCTATACCACCAAGCAGGGGAGTGAGGCGTGTACAGCAGAGGGAAGGCAGAAAATAGAACAGGTACCCTCGTCATCCATCCAAATGGATCCCCTGACTCACTCAGGCCAACTGCAGGCCTTCCTGGTGCCCCATCATTCATTTATTCATTCATGAAACACACAGCAAATGCATGCTGCATGTCAGGCATGGCGTTGGGCACGTGGGGAATCCAAAGACGAACAAGACCCATTTTTTACTCCCCACCCCCACCCCCGAGAGCTCACAGCCTAGCAGCAAGGGGACAAGGAACCAAGTGTTGAGCCAAAGGACCATGCCAGGAGAGATGAGGGGGGGCACTACCGGCACATTTGCTGAGCTGGACTCCAGGATGGGAAGCATTGGCTGGCAGAGGGGTGGGCCCGGGGAAAGGCACCATTCCTGAGGGCGGTTGCAGGGGACTCTGAGGAGCGTGGGGCTCTGTGCTGAGAGGCTCCACAAGGAGGTCTACTGGCAGATTTCTAAGCAGGCAAAGCCCTTGATGAGCTCTGAGCTTCAAAAAGGAAGGCCTCCGGCCTTCTGCCCGGAGGCCGGGGCAGAAGCAGGAGGCAAGCACAGAGGGCTGGCAGCAGCTGGAGAACAGGCTGGATGAGAGGGGCTTGTAGGAGGTGTCTCTGCACAGCCCCAGCCTGCTGCTCCCTTGGGCTGGGCTTTGTTGCTCAATTAATTACATCTCCCTTGTTCTCTGAGATATTGAAATTCTGAAAGGCTCCTGCAAACCTACCCGGCTGGCTTCCCTGAATGGCAGCCCTGTCCCTCCTCCCCTCCCGCCTCGCTCTGCCCAGCTGGGCCCCAGCGCACTGCATGGCCCTCTCTGGGGCCCAGGGAGTCCCAGGGCCTCAGAGCCTCAGCATAATTAGCTAATTAGGGACTTAGAATGATTTTATCCCTTCCACTCCAGGGAAGAGGAGCCACAGGATTAGGGAGTCAAGGAGGACCCCAAGAGAACACGGCTAATCTTCCTTTTATGCTCACGGTCAAGTAATTAGCCAAGACAGGTTGGCCGGTTACACTCTGCCCTCAGTGCCTCTGGAGCCTGGCATGGGAGGTGAAGGCAGGGAGAGGACAGAGAAAAGCAGACAGAGGAAAAAGTGAAACCAGGAGTGACGGAGAGAAACAGAGACAGAGGACAGACAGTAAGAGGGGAGAGACTGCCTCAAGTCACCATCTACCTCAAGCCATCCTTTTACTTCATCTCCCTCCACACCTTTCCTGGCCAAACCCTCCTCCTCCAGGCAGTCCTCCCAGACTCTCACCCCCAGTTAGTCATGAAGGCCTCCTGCCTCTCGTTGCCCCAAGGCTCTCACTCACTCTCAGGCGGACTCACCTGGTTCTGCATTCTTAGTGCACGTTTTCAGGCTTCTGCCTGGAGCAAGAGCCAGATGGGCCATGATGGGGATAGGCTACAGGCAGCCCTGTGAGTGTGACTGAGGGCCCTGGCTCCCCAGCTGAGAGGGGCAAGAGGACCCTGGAGACTTCAGGACACCTGATGCAGCCCCCAGCCCAGAGAGCGCCCAGAACACAGACCCAGGATAGGACTTCTGGGTCCCAGTCCCATCTGGGTGGCCTTGAGACAAAGTTTGCCCTCTCTGGGCCCCAGCAGCCTCATCTACAGAGAGGACAGTGGTTCCTTTCCATTCAGCCCTTCAGGAATACCATGGGGCCAGGACACCTCTGGCAGAAGAGCCTCTGAAGTCAGAAGCCTCTAACAGCCCATACATCCCATGAGAAAGCGCAAATCCTTATCCCCCACCATCCTGGCTCCTGCTCAGACTTCCCTGGACTCTGGCCCCATCTCCCTCTATCCTCCCTGCCACACCTGAACCAGCATCCAGCCTCCCCACTCCTCACACCTGCACACACTCTGCCCCCACCCACAACACCTCCCCCACCCTGCTATAGGATCCCAAGACCACTGTGCTGCACCCAGAAAGACAGACACACTTCCAGTCCTGGAAAGCCCACCTTCAGGACTGCCTCTGTGCTCTTGCACATGCTTGGAGGGACATCTCTGGCCTCCTTTTTGGGAATCTCAGCTGAGCGGTCACCTCTTCTGGTGCCCCTGCCATGAGCTGCCACTGCCCACCCGCCCTCCATCACAGCCTGTGCCAGTTCCCGGCTCTGCCTCCTCCTCCCTGCTGGAAACCAGCCATGGCCCTCATGCAAGGCCGAGGCAAGCGCTGTGCGTTCTCCCACCCAGCCCAGGACCTGGCACAAAGCAGCCCCTTGAAGGATGACAGCTTGAATGAGTAAAGGAGCGACCAGCGAGTGAATGGAGCTACTCAGCAAGTAATGCATGAGGACCAACTGCGTGCCAGGCACTGCGCTAGGCTCTGCCGATACATGAGTTTAAAAACAACAAAACAGGCTGGGCGCAGTGCCTCACACCTGTAATCCCAGCACTTCGGGAGGCCAAGGTGGGCAGATGACAAGGTCAGGAGTTCAAGACCTGCTTGACCAACATGGTAGAACCCTGTCTCTACTAAAAATACAAAAATTAGCTGGATGTGGTGGCGCGCTTGTAGTCCCAGCTACTCGGGAGGCGGAGGCAGGAGAATCACTTGAACCTGGGGGAGGTGGAGGTTGCAGTGAGCTGAGATCGCACCACTGCACTCCAGCCTGGGTAACAGAGCAAGACTGTCTTAAAAAAAAAAAACAACAAAGTTCCCTGTCCTCATGAGGCTCACATCCCAGGCAGGGTAGGGAGAAACAG